CCTACGTAGTGGGTTATGACGTATTGTTTAAAAGATTACTAACACGTGAATCGTTCAGTTTATAAAATGAAACGTGTGCACCCAAGTGGCGCAAGTAAAATAAAAATGGATAGGAAATATTTCAATATAAAAACAAATTAAAGTCAAACTGTTTGAACTTACGGTTAGCAGGTTAGCTGGTTTCAGTTCCGATTCTGCTAACAATGAGAAGTCGCAAACAGGCAGGCAGAAATCACCAGAAGTTTTTTCTAAGCCTTACAACGTTTAAATTAAAATACTTTTGATTATATCTGTTTGTCTTTGTTGCTGAAGTACAACTATGGAGTAAAGTGTGTGATAAACAGTAAATGTGGTCCATTCATAGATGTATTCAAAATTCAAAAGTGGTACGAGATATGCTTTTTTACCATGTATGGCAAAAACTCCAAGAACTAGGTTTTGGTCTTATTTTTAAATTGAAGACTTAAAACAATTTTAAGAATAGGCCTTTAAATTTTATGGCAGCTGTAGAGGTGAATAGAAATACGAGCAAATTTTATATCAAACTAGCTGTACCCTTTAACTTATTTTCAAGATGAGCTCGTTCGCATGGTTCAATCACGTCCTGGTTGAAGTTTGTTCGCTACGCTCACTCACCTTTAGGTTGGAGCTCATTTGCTGCGCTCACTTGCCTTCAGGCTAGCTCGTTCGCTACGCTAACTCGCCTCCAGGTTGAAGTTCGTTCGCTACGCTCACCTTTTGGTTGCAAATTAGCTGTTGTCATAAATTTAAAATAAATAAATAGTGCTGCACCCTGTTGGTAATCCTTGTAACTTTAATGCTATTGAACATCATAGAACAGAACCAACTTGTTTAATTGAAACAGCTGTTAAGATTAATTTATTCCTTTTAAATATGAAACATCATAAGGTTAACATTGGAAACTCCAGGGCCACTGAAGCGGAGCCCGAAAGCCCGATCAGAATAAAAACTACTTAGTTGTCCTATTTAATGCCCAAAGAATCGGTGTACCGAATTTCAGCCTCCTAGGTAAATGGGAAGTGGGAGAATTAGTGATGAGTGAGTGAGTCAGTGAGGGCTATGCCTTTTATATATATAGACTAGCTGTACCCGCGGGCTTTGCCCCGTTTAACTTCATATGTGAGCTCGTTCGCATGGCTCAATCACGTCCTGGTTGAAGTTCGTTCGCTAAGCTCACTCACCTTTAGGTTGGAGCTCGTTCGCTGCGCTCACACGTCCTGGTTGAAGTTCGTTCGCTACGCTCACTCACCTTTACGGTTGGAGCTCGTTCGCTGCGCTCACTTGCCTTCAGGTTAGCTCGTTCGCTACGCTACCTCGCCTCCGGGTTGAAGTTCGTTCGCTACGCTCACTCACCTTTTGGTTTCAAATTAGCGTTGTCAAATATTTAAAAAAAATAATAGTGCTGCACTCTGTTGGTAATCCTTGTAACTTTAATGCTATTGAACATCATAGAACAGAACCAACTTATTTAATTGAAACAGCTGTCATGATTCATTAATTCCATTAAATATGAGTACTCATTAGGTTAACATGGGAAACTCCAGAGCCACTGGGGCGGAGCCCGAGAGTCCGATCAGAATAAAAACCACTTAGTTTTCCTATTTAATGCCTAAAGAATCAGTGTACCAAATTTCAGCCTCCTAGGTAAGTGGGAAGTGGGAGAATTAGTGTTGAGTGAGTGAGTCAGTCAGTCAGTGAGGGCTTTGCCTTTTATATATATAGATTTAAAAAATTGATTCATACCTTGGAATTAAATTTATTATTACAAAGATTTTAATTTATGGAAAATTAGCAATTATTAATTTAATCGAAATTATCAAAAACTTTTAATTATTTAAAACCACATTAGGCCCCTTTTATGCACCTGCAGCATGTAGCAAACATATATGCTAACTAATTGTTGCCGTGAGAGCACCCCATGGTCCTTGTTTTATTTCTGGCTGGGGGCCTCAAATCAAAATCTAGCCGAGGGCCTCCAATGGAGCCAGACCGGGCCTGGACTTTATGCGGATTCGTGACTAGCCTATATTAAGTCCTTTGAAGTGAGGTTAGATTATTAAAGGTTAGGTTATAATGAACCGACTCATTAATTTATGCAACTTCCAGACTGTTTTTGCACAATTAAAATAGTGGGTGAAACACAATGAAATAACAATATCAAAAATGCCAAATTCGCTAGTCCGCAGTCTAGGGAGTTAGTTCGCGAGCTCTGAAACCCAATTTCTTATTCAATGACTAACTTTATTCACACTGATTAAGTAACTCCAGGATTACATATTCTCGAGCTCCGAAACCCGCCCTAAAAGCATAACAACTTAAGTTACACTCAAATTTTTACAATAGCTTCATGTTTTTTGTTGTTTTTTTTTTGTCAAATTTTGTTGCATTTTCAACTTTTTGATCGCAAGCTAAGCTCAATCCATTTATACTTATTGGTCGATCAAAAACTGAGAAGAATGTAGGCCTACTCTTTTGTAATAGAAATATCTGCGCTTGGTAGTTGAACATTCCTATTGCATACTGTAGGGCCCTTTTTACTCGTCTCAGGATCGAACCAGATATTTACTGAGTACCTAAGTTATTTGGCTAAGTATTTATTTAACCTATCCCAATCCAAAGTGTGTAGTTAAGCTACAGCAATTCTCACAATAACTAGCGTTAATGATAAAGATTAACCATAGCAGCTATCAAAAAGAATCTTCAGATGTGAATATCACAAACTTGTTGTTACAAGAATTTTTACAATAAGTTAAACCTGTATACCATATTTTATTGCTCTCTGTTATTTGATAGACATAATAACTGGCCAGACATTCAGTAGGCCTACACTACTACTAGCTTAGTACATTAAAAGACTGTCAATTTCTTCAAGGCCAGCTAAAGTTACAGACTCCTTTGTATTTCAATGTCTGATTTTGCTATATTTGGGTATGATAGAGAGTTGCAATTTTGCTTGCAATAATATTGTAGGCTATTAGTGGTATTAAATAACTATAGTTCGGCCGCTTAGAAAGCGACCTCCTCCAGCATTGGTTTAGCATTAGCGCGCAGGTCGTTTTCTAAGCGGCCGAACTATAGTCTAAATTAATTTCATATAGGCTACCAATCCAAGTATTAGGCCTATGTCAGTCATTGAACTGCCAGTAGGCTACATTTATCAACATTTTATAATGAAGTGAGTTATGTGGCCTAACTAAATTAAATCCAAGGGTTACTTTGTATTTCCTGTAAGCTTTTATCACTTTGTAGATGTGCTCTTTATCTCCAGGGCGCTAGCTGAAAGTTTATGTAATTTGTGTTATAGGGTTGCTATGTTTGGTGATCAACTCGTTAACTGGTTCCAATTCAAAAGTGATCTATCTACAGTCGTTAACTATTCAATACCTCTAAGGATCTGATTTAAGAAAGGGCTACGTGCTAAATCTAAGTAATTGCCCTAAGTAACACTCCAAGATCAGTGACAGTAAATTGAATATTTTAAAATATTAGCCAGTGCTATGTGGAAGTCTCAGTCCATCTTGAAAAGTGCAAAAGAAGTTTTCTTCCTAGTGCAACATAGACATAAGTTCACGGGAAAGACGCTGGTGTTTAACTTACCATTTTTCCAAGTGGGGAAAACAACTTTGACTGCTCGAGCAATATTTTATGACTTTAGTTTGCTTAACGAAATGAGGCCCTTAGTTGAGATGAAGAGACTTTTTTCAACACAAGTGGAGCTACCCTCTGACTCCACTACTCCTTATCTACTAGTCAAATCTGATTTAACCCATTTCTACACCAAGATCAAAGAAGAGCTGAGGTTCAACACTAGTCAAGATAGTCTATACAACGTGTCTTCCTATTATTTTGACGGCAAAGGAAAAGCAATAAGACCAGTTTTGATCATTTTAATGGCTAGGGCCATCAACAAACATTTACATTTAAACTGTGATTTACTACAAACTCAGAAGCAGGTTGCTGCAATTTCCGAGATGATTCATGCGGCATCATTGATGCATGATGATGTCATTGACCAATCGAATCTTCGTCGGGGAAAGCCAAGTGTAAATTGGGTTTGGAATCAGAAACAAGTAGCGATGGCGGGAGATTACATCCTAGCTGTCGCCTCCATGATGATCGCAAGGCTGCGGAATGATGACGTCACTATCACCTTGAGTCAGTTTGTGACGGATCTTGTTAAAGGAGAGTTCATGCAACTGGGTTCAAGAGAAGTAGAAGGTGCGAGGTTTACACATTATTTAACAAAATCCTACTGTAAAACAGCGAGTTTAATTGCCAACTCATTGAAGGCTGTTGCAATCCTCGGTGGAGCCGATGCCAAAACTACTGAGATCGCTTACGAGTACGGCCGCAACATCGGCATTGCATTTCAACTAGTCGACGACTTGCTGGATTTTACTTCATCGTCTGTTGCTCTGGGTAAACCAACAACGACAGACCTCAAACTGGGCTTGTGTACAGCACCTGTGTTGTTTGCGTGTGAGAAGTTTCCTGAACTTAACTGCATGATTATGCGAAGATTTCAAGAGCCTGGAGATGTTGAAAAAGCACTAGAGCTAGTTTACAACTCGGATGGTCTTGATGAGACCAGATATCTTGCAGAGAGGTATTGCCTAAAAGCCACTGAAAAGGCTGAGCTTATACACGAGTCACCCTATCAACAAGCTTTAATAGTCATGTGTGACCAGGTTATAAACCGAACTAAGTGAGCTTTGTGAATTATATTGTTAAAACTAGTCAGGATTAGAAAATAAATAGACATCGCAACCTAAACTTTGTATTGTATTTATTAACTACATATTAGGCTAATTTGAATTTACAAATTATCCATTAAAATATGACCGAGGTGATTTGAGCCTTTAAAAGTATATTATCCACGTTAGTTCTATTTACCGGTACTTTATAAAAATATTTACGTTACAGTACGGTATTCTTAAAAAAACACAGGCTAGGTATAAAAACGATCACCAACTTATTGAATAAATAATCAGTGAATAAATTGAATGTAGATTTTAGATCACTGGCTATTAAAAAACAAGTTAAAAGGGGTGTAGGGTAAAGTTGTCGTTATTTTAACTTAAAAATTTTGTTATTGCCCTGTTTTTACATAATACTAGGCAAAAAGCGTCCAATCTCCTAACCTTTGTGTGAACCCTTCTCACACTCCAATTAGTGTACTACTAATGAAACTAACAACACAAATTCTCTTGACCCAAAACTAGTTTTGAAAATTTGTTAGTAAAAAAAAGTGGGGAGTTCCATCAAGTTAATTGATTTGTAATTAAAGGTAAGTTCCAGTTTGGTTTTCAACAACCTGCATGATGAATTATATGACCAGTGCTCGATTTGTAAAAACATTAGGTGCTGGAACTGTAACCTATTTAATGTGATTAGTACCTATTTATGCCAATATTTTTATCTTTCCGAAATATGGATATACCAGAACGCAGTTTCCACCACAAATCGAGCACTGCATATGTGGACTAATTTTTCCATTATTGTGTCTAAACCGCTTCATAAAAAATTGTGATTTCATGGCAATACATTTTTGGCAACTTGCTATTTCTACGGGGTTAAGTTAAATGTTTAGGAATGACAATTTCCTTCCAAACAAAATAGCATAAATTGGTTAGAATAAAGTCCTACGAATAGGCGAAGCACTTTTAGTTTCATCAGTATTTAATTCAAATTATTTTAAGTTTTGTAATCAAACAAACTAAGATGAAAATTGTGTATTAAACAAGTAACAGGGTGACTGAAGTGAATTGGCTGAAATTTGTGCCCGACGTTGATGTATAGGCCTAATCTAGTTCTGTTTGACAAAACTAAAACTGTGTTTTGACGTACTATGCAAGTCTGTTATGAGAGAGCCAAAATATTTAACAGGATGCTAGAATCTAGACTTTTATTTTCAATACAGGAAGTGATTTATAAAACCTCGTACAAGTTGTTTCAGTTAATCAGTCAGTCAGTTGTAGGTAGAGGAGATTGAACACTATAAATAATTTCTTGTATTTTGTATGCATCTCCAATGCCCATCATACCACGGGCACTTGATCTCTAATTTTTATAAACAATCTCTGATAGAGCTGTTTTTAAGTGTTGCTTCTTTCACTACTTGAGTATTAACTATAAATATGGTAGCCAATCTGCATATCTTGCACATTACTGTAAGCCTATTACAATATTAAGTTCCCATGCTGTAATAGTACTTAGGTAATTTATTTTGGTAATTTTTGTCTTCTTTTTGGTGTAGGGCTAATTTTTTATGTAAGGTACTTTTTTTTTTTTTTTTTTATGTAAACAAACTTTATTTATACATTTCAAACAATTCAACATATGACTATGATTTTCAATCAAATATAAATGTTTGAAAAATCAAATGAAAGCTTAAAGTGTAGGGCTAATGTTGAAAATTAAAAAAAGTTACAGTATTCAACACTTTCCGGTATAAGAGTGCACAAAACATTTGGTAAGAAAACACAAAAATGCCATTTGAGGTACAAAATCCCCCCTTACCATGTCGGACCAAGAGCTGATAATAGCTTTTTCTAATTTAAAATGCTGCCCTGGAGTAATATAGTGAACACTCTTGTCCTCGAGTTATGTATATGATGACTTGTCCTTGAGTCATACATGATGACTGTGTATAGGTCTATGTCCGATTGAACATGGAGAAAACTCAACTTTCATACAAAAGTGGTTGTGAACTACAAAGGTTATGTTGCATGAGTGTAATAATATAAGATGCCAACAGTAGACCTCAAATATGAACATAAAACTACTCATGAGTTCAATCTGTACCTCTATACGAAGTAATCTTTGCCTTCAACTAATATCTTGCTGATAAACCATTTCTAACCATATTTTGATTGACTGTTTTACAACATGAAAATTTGACATAATATGAACCAATCATAAAATTATATTTAAATATAATGTTTAAACACAAACTACGGATTAAATGTTTTTGAAATCAACTGCCATGTCAATAGTTTTATGGATATGTAAATTGATCATGTTTTTGTTTTAAGCTCAATAATTCTGAATTTGTGATGGAATAAAGAACTCAATTTTAAGCTCTTACTCTTACACAAACATCTTTTGAAATTTAAATTTCAAAATGCATAACTTGAGTTACACTTTTTTTTAAACAAAGGTTTGGTTTAGGTTTAGTTTTAAACAAAGTGCAGTTTATTCTCTCAGGATTGTAGGCTACTGGCAAGCATACAAACAACTCTGTTGGCCAGGTAATTTGATAATTACTTTTTTCGATAGTTAATATTTTTGTTACCTACTAAAAATACAAAAATACTGTAGTCATAAAGATCATTCATATTTAGATATCTAATAATTGTTCAAAAAAAATTATAACAGCCAGTGTACTTCTGAGGACACGGCATTAGAAACTGTTAAAGTGTTGAGTTATTATTTTATCTTGTTAATATTTTCTTAAGTGTTAAGCTATAAGTGACTAAGGATCATGTATCATCAGGACTTGTTTAAATTGTACATCTTTTTCATACTCTTGTTATTTCTCTGATAATAGGTAAATTTTGGTAGAACTGGTTTTAGAAATAGTCCGAGTAAGCTATTTGACCATAAGCAACACACATACAAGGGATTACTACTTGGAGCTTAGAACATCCTCTCACAACTATTTGACCAACTGTGTAATACGCATACACTTTTTGTCTGTTCCTACCATAATACTTGGTTCAGTTTTGTCCCATGGCAAAGTTCTTGCATTAATTAGGATCCAATAAGCTAGAGTATGAAAATTAGAAAAATGTGCAAATCATTGCTTTTATTTTAGCTATAAATTAAACATTTGCATTCAAACAATTTTAAAAGTAGGTAGCTTTATTGTTTTATTTGTGCTGAAGTATTTACTCTGGGTTTAGTATCGGCCTATATTCTATGGCCCCTGTCTTATAAGGTATAGTTAGGTAGTATCTAAAACTGCAATAGCCTACAGTAGAACTACAATTATCCGAACTCCAACTATCATGGTTCAGATTCGACTATACTGTAGGTTCCTTAGTTGCCATTCGCCGTATTGGCTATTAACTAACAGCTGTGTCTATATAAGGAACATGTCGGCCTTAGAAACTAACAAGGCTACAAGATCAAACCACTCATCCTACTCTCGTCTCCATTCATATTTGGCTTAAAATACCTACCTTCGTATGGTCATAATTTCAGAATATAGTATTAAAGCCAATCCGAATTGCCAACTATCCAAATTGCTTACATAAATCATTTAAAACCACAGTACAGTAATGAGAATCGTTATTAAAAAGGCAGAAGCCGTGATCGCAGCAAAATCCAAAACCTGTCTCGCGATCATTATGTGACACCATGATCGTCTCCCGCGGTCACGGAAAATCATAATCGTACTCTTTAATTGTGGCAAAAGCGTAAATTTCCCGATTGCAGACACGTTCTGCGATCACAATTAGTAAAATCTCGGCCTGACTCGCCTTGTTTTCTTTAAAAAAACTATTTTTGGAAAAAATCCATTGATCCGAATAAGCTTATATTGTAATGTTTCGTAGAGATTTTAGAAGTAAGTGAAACCCTCACTAAAATTTCAATTTGTTCATTTTTGTTACAGGTTGACAATTATTGATAAAATAGACGTTTCTATGAGAGAACACAATAGATAAACAATGGTGATGTGTGGTAGAGGCGAACATGAGAGAGATATGATTTAAACTCATTGGCCTTTAATGTGCTCCGATGTCTGACTCTACGACCAAGTTGGCGGCTCTGCCCGATCCTGGGAGCACCTCTCCTTCAACAGGTCAGTAGTCTTGGTAGAATATCTTGTATATTGTATGTAGCTCACTCACTCAACTAAGTAAAATTCAAGCTACTGAATGAGCTTTGAATTTGGTCCTTCAAAAAAGTGGATTGAGGTGTGAACTTTACGAAAAAATTGGGAAACCTTAAGTAGGTTTAAAGCTGATTCAGTTTTCCAAAACTTTAGATGCAAGTGATATTAAAGAATCAAGGATCTTGCGGTTAACACGAATTCCAGATTTTCCCATGATCATTACATTGTCAGGATCATTGAAAATCCTGCGTTCACTGTGCAGTCTTGTAAGAGATAGTCTTATGGGAGATGCTATCAACATAGAAACATCATGTTTAATGTGGGGTGCTTCAACAGTCCTCGGAAACTTGTAAATGCGGTTTGCTTGTTTCTGTTTCTATAGATTGGACTTAGGTAGGGGAGGCCTATAGTCAAAATAAGTAATCTATGGTAGTAAAAAGAGAGAGGAAAAAATTGAGCTTTTCTGAAACCTGATGGTTTGAGGGGGGCTAGTATTGCTGAACGTACTACTTGCCTTCAATAATATGATATAATAATATTGTATTATAAGTCTAGTATTACTCAATAATATTGCCTTGAGTAATACATGACTTATTGAATTTCCGTTATGGACCGCACAGTGAATTTTTAATGGAGTATTAGGTTGAATATATTCATTATAATCATTCTCTCACAAAAATTAGCCAAGGCTTGCTTAACAAATAAATTAATGTAGGCCTAGTACTTTTAGGGACAGAGGAAATAAACTTGAAATCTGGCATGTTTGGGACTTGGCGATGGATTACTGAGCACCATATAAAAGTAGCCATTTTTGTATGCATTTCATAATACAGCTTAAAACCAAGAGTGAACAGTATTCATTAATAGACTGTGATTTTTCTTTTGAATACCCAAGATATAGTTAAATATGATTGATTTCAGTTCAAGAAACGATAAAATAAACTTAATGTATTGATTAACTATCTCATGCTTGAGTACCGGTATTAAACAAATTATTTCCAATTACTGTCAAAATTTGATGAACAACGCCTAATTGTTGTATATGTTGCAGGGGACCAGCGTCTGAGACAGTTGGAGGCCATTTTTCTCGGAGGACCGATACAAGGGCAGGGGAGATGTTTCAGCATAGAAACTCTCCTAGACATCTTGATCATCCTGTACGACGAATGTTGCAACTCCTCCTTACGGCGTGAGAAAACCGTCTCTGACTTCATTGAGTTCGGTGAGTTTCTGTCAACCAAGTGGAGAATCATTAACTTGATAAGGTAGAAAGGCCACTCTCCTCAAACAGGTCCTCACAACACACCAGGCTCTTATGTTTAGGGTGTGATTTATGGTCACAACGGTATTATTGGTAAACCAATTTGGTTGCAGTGGCAACTAGTTTTGGTGTAGATTTATGGACCCTTTTTTTGATGAAAAGACAAAATTTTGCATCATATAAAGGTCATATTGTAACACACACTTAAAATACAAACACAAGAATATTAAATTTTGTCTGAATAAAATCAAAATACAACCCAGTGGGAGATTGGGTCTAGACTGGCAGTAACCACAATTTATGAATAATTATAGAGTGCCAGTCAATAGAAATTAATATCTAAAGAATTATGTAAAGGTTTATTTTCAGTTGTAAAATGTGTCTAAATCACAAAACATTTTTATTTTTCAGTTTGTATATTGATTTAATTTTAATTTTCTAGTAAAACCGGTTGCGACGTGTGTCAAGAACCTACGGTTATCCAGGGATGATTTTGAGATAATCAAAGTAATCGGTCGAGGAGCTTTTGGTGAAGTGTGTGTCGTGAAGATGAAAGGTACAGATAAAGTCTTCGCCATGAAGATCCTAAACAAATGGGAGATGTTGAAAAGAGCAGAGACCGCATGTTTTCAGGTAGGTTCAATGTTGTTAAATTATGTACAAATCTTAAGTCCCGTTTACACGACCCGATGTAGATCAGCTTTTCTAAATTAGGCCTGATCGACATCGGCCCTGAATTCCAATCACAGTGTAAACTAGTACTCCTGGTCACGATTTGGCCAGCAACCATGAAGGGAGACCAGGAGGGATTTCCGTTGGATTTAGGGAGGAAGGATGGGGATTGCGCACTTCCTCTAGGGACTGATGTGAATCCCAAAGCTCTAGACCAGGCAAATCTCTCAGTCCAACCTTGATACGAGTGTCTGAGTTGACTTTAAAGTTTTTTTTCTTGTTTTTGAAATGAAGGAACAAGATGTTTTGACAGAAATGATAGAAGTGTACAAATCTTACAAACGGTTGTGGGACACTTCTCAAGCTTTATATTTACACGTAAAAAACTCAGGAAAAAATTTTTTTATCTAAAAATTACGTTCTGATGGAAAGCAACGCACAGCTCAGATTGGGGGCAGAGAACGGGTCGTGTAAACACAACGCTCTGTTGACCAGGTAGGAGATCACTGACAGGGCGGTAGGGACCAGGAACGGGTTTATTTTAACATTTATCGTACGTTTATTTGTCAAGCCGTAAAACCATTTTAACATACATATGACTTGTTACTATGCTAATTAGGCATACACTGGAGTGATCTTCAGAGTAGCCTACTATGGCTAGGCCACAACAGAGAGAATGAAATGCAACATTTTTCAAGTTTTACTGTTATTTGTTTCTAGGGCTGATATTACATTGATGTTTTTTAGATAGCATATAATTTTCCCATGATTTTGAAGAGCCTCTTAACAACATATTCTGTGGCTAACACTTTGTTTTACATGCTTAGTTTTGTTAATAAATGTTATTACTTCTGCAGAAGCTTTCACCATAGATAAAACATACTCCCCCAAGTAGATTTCTCATCCTTATGGAATAGCTGTAAAGACAATTTTATTGTTAGTTCTGTACGTTCTGTATTACAGTCATTTAAAACCTCGTTTAACCAAATAATACGATCTAATCATAAACAATAACTTGTCTCCTAGTTATATAACCAAACAGTAAAGCACAAATAAAGAAATCAACCCTAAAATAATAGAAACAAAATTTTGTCGACACTAGCGCCCAGTGTCACCGTACATGAACTAGACACAAAAAATGTGCGTCAAAATTTACAATGGGATGACAAGTCTACTTGTGTTGGTTAGTCTATGCTTACACTCTCTGACTGGTGGGTGTTTCAGGATAATTTAGGATTTTAAAAGTATTGATATTGAAATCTATTTTGCAGGAGGAACGTGATGTATTGGTATATGGTGATAGAAGATGGATAACAAATTTACACTACGCATTTCAAGATGATAACAACTTGGTAAGCCTGTTAAGAAATGTCAATAGTTAAAATTTCTGTGCATCAGTATGGATGATATGATTGTAAATGAATAATTTTAATTACAAATGAATTATTATCTCATGAGAAAAATATCAAATTACTCCAGCCTATAATGTACTTTCACTAATGCATCTATATATAACTTACATACATGTATACAGCTTGTATGTATGTACAGCTGTATGTGTTGTATGTTGTTGTATGTGGCTGTGTATGTATGTACAGCTTGATTTGTGCATTAATTGTGTGATTCTGTCCAGTATCTTGTCATGGACTACTACTGTGGTGGTGACCTTCTTACTCTGCTTAGCAAGTTTGACGATCGCTTACCCGAAGACATGGCTCGCTTCTATATTGCCGAGATGATTTTGGCCGTCAGCTCTATACACAACCTTAGATACGTACATAGGTAAACTATTTAGGATAATTTTTAGTGAGGCTAGCAGGCTTACCTGAATGGGAAATAGTACTATTCAGCACAAGAATCACAAAACTTTAGGTCTACCAGGGTTTAAGCTACGGTAGCTTTTTTTAGCATTTTGCTATACACAACTTTAAAATACTACATTGTTTTTACAGGCTATAGCAAATTTGCTACAAATAAAAATTGAAGATGTAATGTTCATGTAATATTACGGGCAATTATTTGTTAATGCTTAAAGAATAATATTTTTGCTTCAGTTGTCTGAGAGTTGTAGCATTTTTCTAAAATAAATTTCATCCCAGCCTATACCCTAAGGCCTACACTATAGCCTACACAAGAATACTCCACTGTCGCTGACAGAATTTTCAACTGAGGAAGAGACAGTTTTCTTCAGGTCTGTTAGTTGAAAATTCTGTCAAAATGACAAATATTACAGATAATAGGTAGTAATCGTGAAATTTGATTATCTAGGGACATCAAGCCAGATAACGTTCTGCTGGATGCCAACGGTCACATTCGACTCGCTGACTTTGGCTCCTGTCTGAAGCTGTTTGAAGACGGAACTGTCCAGAGCAATGTAGCTGTGGGTACGCCAGACTACATTTCTCCAGAGATTCTTCGGGTTAGTACTAATGGTTCATATTAAATCTTTAAACAAATGTTTATTTTACATTGCCTAAGTATCTTGCCAAGTGTAAACTCACATACTCTGTCGTGATCTTAAACATGATTTGGAACCTATTATACTCAGAAAACGTTATGATAATACACTCTTCAAATATAGACTCAAAAATTAGTTGTTTTACAATGGTGCATCAGCTCCAAAAATGATCTTGAATCAGAAATGTGGTATGGAATGTTACATTGTAAAGGAATACACAAAAATTTCAAAAAGGTTTTAATTATGTAATTAAATCACCATTTGAGTACTTTTGAGTGAGAAATGGAAATATCCATGTTTTTATCCACAGGGAATTGTTGGGTACTTATTGATCTAATAAAATTAAAAAATTGAGGTACTTATAAAATAGTCTATCTGTTTTTTAAACTTAACCTTACAATACATACATATACATATACATGATGATGTTTTTTACAGGCAATGGAGGATGGTCAAGGCAGGTACGGGCCCGAGTGTGACTGGTGGTCCCTGGGTGTCTGCATGTACGAGATGCTTTACGGGGAGACTCCCTTCTACGCAGAGTCCCTCGTAGAGACTTACGGCAAAATCATGAATCACAAGGTAATGTATTTCAGAGAGATTTTTGTTTAATAGTTGTTGGAAAGAATGATTTAATAATAGCCCAATGACAAATACCTACCAGCTTAAGGATCATGAAACTTGTAGAAATATACTTTAGTAAGGAATTCTGTGGTGAACTTTATTCAAACGGTTTTGTATTGGTAGCTGTTTAATTGTTAAACTTTACATAACTGACAGTTTAAATATTACAATCATTTAAATTTTGTTGTTGTTGCATGTTTGTATTATATTTATTGCAACAAACATTTCTTTTTGTTCCAGAACTGTTTCGATTTCCCGTCTGAACTAGGTTATGAAGTAACAGAAGAAGCCAAAGATTTAATGAAGAGACTTATATGTACGGCTGAATTACGACTTGGCCAAAAAGGTGTAGATGATTTTAAGGTATGTTTTATTGATCAATGTTATTTCGATCTTAGTATGTTTGGTAATAGATAAACTCTAGGTCAAGATTTACAGCAATTATCATTAATGAGTAATTTATATTCCAACTGATAGTAGACACAAGGATGGTTGTAATTATTTTCCAACTTTTTAAAAATTAATCCATATGAAAAAGTGTATTATATTCGCATGGTATAATGGTAATGTGGTTGTGTTTGCCAGAACCACCCGTGGTTTGCTGGTCTAGACTGGGTGACATTGAGGGACTCAGTGGCTCCTTACATTCCTGAAGTCTCGTCACCCACGGATACCAGCAACTTTGATGTGGACGACACTGTGATCCGTACCTCAGATACGCTTCCTCCCACAGCCAACGCTGCCTTCTCTGCTCTGCATCTGCCGTTTGTGGGCTTCACCTTTACACAGGGCAGGTGGGAGATGCAGACATATCCTCTTATAGTAGAACTACAATTATCCAAATTAATTGGGACTGTACCACATTTATAGTCAGGTTTTTACCGGAATTCATGGTATTTTACAGGAAACAGGCTGATTCAAGCTGGTATTTTACTTTTGCTGTCACAAAGATTTTTTGAAAAAATCACTCTTTTGCTACGATTGCAGAGTACAAAATTGTGATTTTCTGTGACCGTGAGAGACGAAGATTATGTCTGCAGACTGAGGAGCAGTTGGGAAATAGATTATGTTGTATCTCTTACTTCGGGAGACTGATCCAGTCCATATGACCATCGTAGATTTTCAAGGTTTGGCCGCAATTACAGTAAACGATGACGAGATTTCCATGACTGCAGGAAACAATGATGATGTCCACTCGACCGTGGAACATATTTAACATTTTGTCCTGATCAGGAATGATAGTGATGCTGTGACTATGGGAGACAAAGTCATATCATAGACAAAAAAAATCAAATATAGACTGTCAGCCGTGCAGTTGTTACCATGGTTACCATAGGTTCTGGCGCACACCGCTGGGAGCGCCGTGTAGTTACACAGCGTGTAGGCCGTAACTACATGGCGCTTCTAGCGGTGTGCGTCAGAACCTATGGTAACCGCAGCACAGATGACGGTCTATATTTAATTCTTTTTGTCTATGGTCATATGCAATTAACATTTTAACTAAATCATATTGAAACACTTTTTGTAAAAGTGAAATACAAATTTATTTATTTTTGTCTTCAAAAGTCGAGAATAAGTCCATAAACATTCTAATATATTTTGTTTATTTCAAACAGTAAGGAGCATTTTGGTTCAACTACTTACACAGGATTTGGTCTCAATAACTGAATACAAGATAGCATAATATGTTTTATTATTTGTTTTCCAGTCGAGTCAGTGATCTGAGTCATTTCCCCATTAGTCCCAGTTCCCCCACTGGTGTACATACTACCAACAAGCGCATGCGTCTACTTGAAGAAGAGCATCTTATCAAAAATACAGGTTAGCTATTGTTCAAATCAAAATCCATTTAAGAAAACTAAGTAGTTAGCCTACTATTTTTGAAGCATGTAACAATTTTCATACAAATTATCAAAATTAGGGATGGACGAGACTAGATTTTAAATTCGAGAAAAGATTGAGATGAGATTCTATTTCCTCATTACTATCGGGAATTATTTGTTTGTGTAGTTTTATTATGAATAAATAACAATAATGTACTATCAAAACAATTACTAAAGTGCAATAGTGTGCAAAATATCAAAAGCTTACAGGAACTTAAATAGTTATGAAATTCTTAAATAAGAAAATACAATTATAAAATTAAAATAAGACATCTTTAATTTAAAACTGCAACATGCACACCACAACTAACTGTCTCGCAACAAAAACAGTCCTTAAGAGACGAAAGAATTTTAGCACAGCACTAAAACCTCTTTTATATGGTATTCATTTTTCCAATCTCGAAAAATTCGAGATCCAGCCATTCTTAGTGAAAATTAAAATGTTATTTTTATTTAGAGAGTGATGGGCTAGGTTCAGTTACACAAAAAAAAAAAAAAAACACAGAACAACTTTTATCAGTCTGCTGTTTTTTAGGCTTATTGTGACAAATATATTTAATATTCATAAGGTTAATACTGAAATTTTAAACCTAATTCATTGTAAAAGAGTTTCTGACCTCTTGGTTTTAGATCCAAAAAGCAATAAAACCAACGATGAGGAGAGAAGAATATCCCCCACCAGTGAATCAGGCAACGGACTACGTAGGTTGCAAGATGAAATCAATAGGCTGACCAAGAGAAATTGTGGTAAGTTTTGCTAAGGAAACTGTATTTAATAATCTGCAATGTTATTCATTTGAGACTTTCACCTGAATATACAGAAATGGCACGTACCCCCCCCCCCCTCAACCACTTTCCGTGGGAACCCTGTTTAACAAGAAAGGGTAGTGTTGTGTTTTGTTCCTAACTTAGCTCATTTGCATTGTTTTAAACAGCAAATATCTTAATTGTTTTCCAATAATGGTGTGGAAATGTTTTTTATTACCTGCATGTTAAATTATTTAGTACATTTACTATGTTGCATTCTCAATGAAATAGTTTTAATTTTAGTAACTGATTTTTACCAATAGTTGTTAAAAGGTCCTTTTCATCGAATTGCATAAGGTATGAAATAATTAATGATGCTAAATTACAAGAATACATAACCAAGCAATCTCATGAGGATAATTCAAGGCATCGTACTGTACTTAAAAACTATCCTCTCTAACTAATAATGTGATTTTGAAGAAAGATCACGTTACCCAGAAAACAATGATTTGAATGTATTTCATAAATCATGAAACAATCTAACTCATTGAAATAAATAAATAGTCTACATGTTTAGACTAACAATAACCACTTCCCCATAAGAGAATGGTTATTAGCTAAAACAAGTTATAAGATTCTTTAAACTATGAACTCATTAGCCAATAGAATGGAAAATAAAGAATTGAGCTGGATGATGCATTGTAAAATAAACATGATTAGATAAATACAAAGGGCAAACAAGTTCTGTTTTATCAAATCTTCAAGAGAACATCCATTTGTTGTTTAATAACCTGTGATCAAGTTTTCTCTATAGATATTTATTTAAAGTTTAAAGCAAATTATGTTTTAAAAGTGGTTTTTCTATTGAGACTGATTAACATTTGCACCTCTTGTGTGCATACTGTGTAAAGACATTTTTAAAACTGTAACATATTTCAAATCAGTGGCTAGTGACTTTTGGATAAGGTCAGGTACTGTTTCAAGTTCATTTCTAACTTCAGTTTAACTCTAAATTGAAATATTTGTCTGATAAAGTGTGTGCTTTTCTATTGTTTTTTTTTTTTTTGTAAAGTAAAATTGTTTATGTTCAATGTTTTAAATAAATACGTACTTTTAGTACTTTTACTTAACTTTTTGTTGTGACCTTTGACATTTTAAACTTTAAACTGTGACCACAATGGTCAACATGTTAAAACTATTTTCTAATTTTCAATATTAAAAATTTAAAATAGTAGTTTAGTCTTAGAGAGATATTTTAAATGTTGCAATGAGCTGTGTAAAGTTATTCTTGTGCGGTAGTAAACTCTTACCCTTTCAAGAAGGCCTACTATCCTAAAAAATAATATCAATCGGGGTATCATATCATTTATCGGTACAGTAATTGTTGCTGCTTTTCAGAACTTGAAAACCAGCTGAGAGGGTTAGAACAGATGGCTGACATCAAGGTCTCTCCTCTACCGCACATGGACACCTTACAAAGAACTCGAGAACTTGAGAAGTGCCTCAGGCTACTCAAACAGGAGAAGGAAGAGGCTCAGAAGGTGAGTTTATTTGTGTGTTACTGTTAGCATTTAGGAAGTAGACCTGGAAACCGGGTAGATGGGGATTTGAACGTCAATTTTGATATCCAAGAAATAATATGTAACTGTACCTTTGGGGGGGGGGGGGTAAGTTACTTTTCAGCCACCCATCTTAAGCTCCATCTAGAATTGAAGTTAATTTAGGTTCTTTAAACAGATTTAAATATAGTAGTAGGTGCAAATAAGAAAGTTGGCCTTTATTGAGCAGCAACTTTTTATCTAGAAATTTTAGAATTTTGATCGTGGAAAACTTGGAATTGTCCTATAATTTTTTTTTTATGGGACACTCTGGCACTTTATGTTTAGAGTTAGGGAACTGTCCAAACTCTGTTCATGTTACTATCTAACCTTGACCTTTTGTTAGATAACATTGTTACTTGATAGATAGCGCAATGACAAATATGGCATCGAGTTTAAACAGTTAGTTTATTGCTTAAAATGTATATTTTTCAGCTCTTTGTGATAGTTTCAATGAAAATTGGGTTTCTAAACAAATTTTAAAACCCTATTTAACACTGTCCCCATTACCCAATCTTGCCAACTCATTTTTTTTAAGTGTATCCAGCCCTACATGTCCATGTCAAATTTCATCAAAATCAGACCAAAATTATCGGGTTGTCACATTTATTTACACATAAATTAGACCAGTGGACAGACATATAAAAACATTTAAAGAATATTGTTTTTAACCTCTGGGGAAATCTAAACTAAAAAATAAATATATCCTGGGTCTAGGTCTCGCTGAGCCACCTACGGTTATAGCTTTTTCCTGGGGAGCGAGCTGGTCTAGTGGCTAGAGCGAGAGATTTCAGTCCCTGAGGTCCCGGGTTCTAATCCCGCCAAGTCACCAATGGATTTGATCTCAGTGATAATGCTGCAACCCCTACGTCTAGCCTGAAGTAATGTGAAAAACAATTCCGGGCTCGTGCCTAGCGTCTTAGGACAAGAAAAAAAAATAATAAAATAAATATAATAGCTTCTTCCCTATAGGAAAGTTTGCTATAAAAGTTTGAAAACCCAGAAACACCAAGACTGGTGTCATTGTTAAAACATTAAGCATACCTTTAACAAAGCTGAAATCGCAGAGCAATTTAATTAATAGCTTCTTTCTGTGAATTCTGTTCATACATGACATCTTAACTTCAAACAATGTGTGTTTGGCAGGAAAAGCAAGATGCACTGGAGAAACTGAAACTTCAGGATAAAGAATTGAAGGATGCTTTAAGTCAACGTAAATTAGCAATGTCGGAATACACTGAAGTCACCGACAAGTAAGTATACAAATTACATTTACAGCTCTAGAACTTGTAGGATGGTAGCCATATCCCAAGCTAAATGACGATACCTGTAATGTATTCATGTTTCTGGAAAGGGATAATTTTATATATCCTAGTTAGTGATGAAATCTAAAACCTTTTAACTTTTTGAAGCTTTAAAAAGGTTTTTTGAAAAAGTAGAGGTCCTGAAGTTGTAGGAAATTTTCAGGGGAAAATATATTCACGATCATCAGGACGAGATTACATTTCATTTGGAATTTTCTAAGGCGGTATTTGTTCCAATGGGCAGCAATATCGCGCTGCCGGGAGATTCATGATGACGTCTTTGCGATTGCGGGAAATGTCGTCAGGATAGCGACCTACTTGCTTACCGGTACCTTGCTGACAAAAGTAGATAATCTATTTGTCAGTTTGGTATGCCTGTTGTTTAACCTATCCATAAACAATCCCAAAACCTGGCCTAATGCCGTCCTTACATAAAAATACCGCAACCTTTTATTTAATAAATGCTACAGTCAGTACTCAAACTGTCAAGTATTCACCCGATGTTGTCCACCAGATTGTCAGAGCTGAGACAACAGAAGCAGAAGGTGTCTCGGCTGGTGAGGGACAAAGAGGAGGAGCTGGAGGTGGCCATGGCCAAGGTAGACGCCCTCAGACAAGACATGCGGAGGGCGGAGAAGCTACGGAGGGAGCTGGAGGCGAGGGTGGAGGAGGCGATAGCGGAGGCAGGCAAGGAGCGCAAGCTGAGAGAACGGAGTGAGGAATACTGCAGGTAACTATGAACGTGTGTACCCTGGCCTTGGTTAGTACTTGAATGTACTCAGAAGGAAACCCATGAAATTGTGACAAAAGGAACTAGTATCTTATCTTAATTAAGATAGGAATGTACTATTTTAACACAACACCCACATAATTTTACGAACCATACAATTGTTATTTGTAAGTGAGCAACTGAAATTGTCTGTTCAAAAACTAAAAACTATACTTCATTAGTCTGCCATCTTCCCTCCTAAATACAAGGCCTGTCCACCTTAGTCTTCTACTCTTTGCTCCTCCTATTATGTCTGGGGAATAGTACTTGTCTCTTATATCTTGGTTATGTCTTATTCTCCATCCTTCTCCCCCTCTTACAGGTCCACATATTTTTCTCAAAATTCTGTTACCAAATGAAACCAACTTCTTTTCTGTTTGTCTATAATCCTAAATATGCGCTAGGTTTATCATTCAAAAATCTTTTACTTCATAACAATAACAATCCTTGAATTAGCCAACTTTTAACATTTTCTTCAAACGTATTAACATTGAGTGTTTTGACATGAGTTGGTATGTCATTGTATTTTATTTTACCTATATAATGATGGGTATTTTCAAATATTTTTAATCGATAAACTATGTATTGTAGTTTACCTATAAAATCAAGTAGCCTATTGTAATTATGGTTTAAAATTAAATATTTATTTGTATGAACAAATATTAAACATTTGAAGATATAGAGTGAAGGAAGTGTTAAATATCAGAAAGCACTTGAGTTGCAGAAAACAACAGCATTTACATTCCCCCTACTATATCACACATTTGTTTGGCAGACAAATGGAGCAAGAGACAGAGAGGTGGAGACAACAGAGGAGAGACTTGCCTCTCGGCAGTACAGACAGTCTGACCATGTCTCCCAACACTCACTCACAGGAGATAGCCAGGTTGAATGCTGAAGTGGAGAGGTTAGAGGTGCAATACAAGGAGTCTCTACAACAACAGCAGGCGAGGTACAGCATAGAGATAGCCAGCCTCAGGGAGCAGCTTGCGGAGGCAGAGGGACACCGGGAGATGCTGGAGAGAGAGGTAGGCTATACACCTACCAGTCAGCTGACATTTCTATAGAATAATATATTAATACTAGGGATGGACGAGATTGGATTTTTAGTTCAAGACAAGACGAGACGAGATTTTTTATTTCTCATAAAATTTCGAGACGGGATTTCCCTTCTCATACACAATGGAAATGCACGTTCAAAATTTTTACCTGATTTTGTAACATTGTTAGATGACTGTTTAAATACAAAAATAATGATAATAGGCAAGAATATTTACAATCTTTTATTAAAAAACATCAGCATAACATTTTTTTATTAATCACGCTTAACTTATTAAAAATGCCTACGATTAGAAAACATAGTGATATCAGTTAGGATAGAGTTCAACTTATCCTAAAATAAAATAAATCATAAAATAAAAGCAATATTAATTTTTATAAAATAGTTACTTGTTTTGACTTTTTATAGTACAGTAATAAAACATTCCTCACACTGCTTACACTTAACAAAACTTCTCAAATGTTATTAAAGTAATATTATTAAAATAATTAAAGTAATATTTACATTTAAAGAATTAATTAAATAAGAACGCCTTCGCAAAGGAAACGCAACTACAACACGCTCCTGTATTGCGGGTATTGCATTGACTTTCTGCAGGCGTTTTTAATTTTTTTTTTTTTTTTATTCTCGTCGATCAAAATCTCGGCCAAAAAAATATCTCGTCTCATGTAACGAGATTTAAAATTTCCCGAAATTTCGAGACGGTAACAGTCAAAAAGTTCCCGGAATGAATTTCTAAGGACATTTAGTGCGATCACCAGCGGGAAATTCACCTTGCAGTAGTTAGTACGACTCCTGTGGAGGGTATTTCGGTAGTGGGGGTCAAAGCTGACAAGCCGTAGTCTAGCTTTTGGCAAAATTTTAGAATTGGAAAACGCTTTTTGTGTACCTTCGAGATTCAAAAGTTTTGAAATTTAAGATTTTTGCAGTATTTTTTGAAACTGCTGAAATTATTTTGTGTCATTATTGTTTTTAAAACTGTTCCTCACAAGCTCGTAGCAATAGACAAACATCACCATCAACAGTAATGAAACAAGTAAATTGTAGGTTAATCTGAACTTCAAAGGCATCTTAAATAATACTATAACTGGGAAAATGTGCAATTCAGTTTCATATCAATATTTATTAAACCCAATGAAATATTGACCACTATATGTAAAAAAAAAATGTTCTAGAATATAATTAATATAATATTCATATTTATATTGGCGTTAGGAGTTTAATTTATTTTAATGTTGGTTATTTATTAAAAAAATATGTTGTATTGGGTTTTAAGATTATCAGTCACATATTTATATTATGCCAGGGCCAGGAGTTGATCTCTTTTAGTTTTTATTGCATACTTAACATTTTATTATTACCTGTATTTTTTGTAACCTTGACCTTTATAACCAGCTAAGTAAAAAAGTTTTGTGTATAGGTTTTGAGATTCGGGATTCGATTTTTAAAAGTTACGGTTTCGGTTTTGAGAATCGAAATTTCTGGTTTTGACCATCACTAAAGTCTACATTGTCGGTTACTGTCGGTCATGTACCTGCATTGATAAATGGCATTTCACAAACAGCGTGCAAACATTAAGTTCTGTGTTTTACTTAAACAAACCACCTAGTGGGACTCTTGAGTTGTTAATTCAAGCTTATGGAGAAAAGGAGATGAAGAAAAGTCAAGTTTAGGAGTGGCACGAACGGTTTCGTGAAGGCCATGAAAGTATTGACGATGACCGTCGTAGTGGACGTCCTTCGACAGGAGTCAATGACTTAAACATTGATGTATATTGATGTTGTTTGTTGTGTGTGTTGTTGAAGCTGGTACAATTTCTTCAATTTTTAATTTCCGATTTTCACACACGCGGAAAACAATTTCCAATGCTAGACTACGGCTCGTCAGCTATACCCCCACTACGGAAATGCTGTACCGATTCAAAATGAATGATCGATTGAAAAATTCAAATCAAACAGAAAACGCGCGAAGGCAAGGACCAACAACGGCCAATCACGTGAGCGCGGAGGAACACCAATTTGCTGACTTGTGTGGACGTCTTTTTCTAACGGTCACTTGGGATTATGCTCTGAGCCGCGATGTACGGAAATCTTTAAATTCTCCTTTTCAATTCGCAAAACTCGCTTTTGGTAGTCGTAACGTGTATTTTGTCAAAGAATCAATTGTTCGATTTCCGGAGTGCATTGATATTTACACCGTGAAATAACATTTGCTAAAATACGAATTGATTAAGTAAACGAGTCTTTAAGTTCGACGTCGACCGGCAAAATTCGTCAGATTTGACCATTTTCATAGAGCATACCCCAAGTACAGTGTCGTAATTATATGTTTATGTGTCGTCAAAATTGTCTTCTGTGTATGTAAGTAAATGTTTTGTGTAAATTGTATTTATATCATTAGGAGTAGCCAATCTGTCCACATTCATATTTATTTTGTTTAATCATGTTCCTTGCAGGTTTCATGTACTAGTGTGTAATTTCAGTCACATTGCTTTAAAGTTATTGTCGTTTACTTATTTTAAAATACATACTGTGATACATTTGTAGGTATTATTATATTAATAGTTTGGGTAAATCTTTATACCAGTTAAATTTCATATTGTAATTTTGTACTTAACTTCAATTTATATCGTTAGGATATCAGCTGTCTGTCACGTAAAACAGTTACAATTTGTTCTTGCTTAAATATTTGGGTTTGAAATCATTTCAAAAATACATAAAGAGATCTCTGAGAGTAATTGATTGGGTACAAATTCAGGTTTCAATCAGAGCATTGTCCCGGTTGAAGGTTAGGTTTCAATAAAGGCTATAAAGGTAGGCTTCCATTAACGCCATAAAAAGTCACATTATTAAATTAAATTAAACAAACGACTCAGTAGTCGTTTTGGTCCAGTTTGCCACTGAGCAACAAAGTGTGCTGTACACTGAACTACGAATAGCCCCTTTGCATATAAGATCAACTGGCCAGTTGTAGACAATACATTAATTTGGGAAGCCTGATAGCCTAAATCAGATTAAATAAATTAAATCTAGGTTCCCGAGGCTCTGCTGTCAAATCTCAGGAAAGAAAGTCAAAAAGGCCACAATCAATACTCTCTCATATTAAATTGAAGTGTAATTAGCAGGAACTTGAATATTATTAATTATAGCTGAAACTTGAATATTATTAATTAGCCTATAGCAGAAACTTGAATATAATATTGATTATTTGTAATATTTGTAATATTTGAAGTGACAATACACATAGCTTATTCTTTCAACAATTTTGTTAATTCTCCTGTGTTAATCTTGTCAAGGTAATCGGCTTAACCGAACAATTACAATAAAGTATAATATCAGTAAATAGTCAATCAATACATAATTTATTACATATTAGTTCAATCAGTGTTTGACATTATCGTTTCAGTAATACAGAGTCATAGCCATGGTTTAACAGAATTTCAACAAAAAGTGTATTTTGCATTCAGAGTGATTGGTATTTTTTATTACATCTTAAAAAGTGTTATATTTAAGATCATTGAAGGTACTTTCAGGAGGACATATCAGACCTCTCACGGTCCATAAATCGGACTTCTGGGATATTTAATTACAGGGCCCACACTTAACATCTTTATTTCCACTGCGCAGCTCTGTGATTGTAACGTCCTCAGTAGTCTGACTAAATAAGTTAAATTTCATTTTCAAACCCCACCAGGGGGCAACTTTTTATAATACTCACACCTGTATGGAATAGCCAAATTGTATTACATAAAGGTGTGAGGTGATTTTGGTTGATGGAATGATCAGTTAAAAAGAAGGTATATTTTTAATATAGTAAAGAACATTTATTTTTCTTTACAAAAAGAATATAGGAAATATTCTTTTTATTTTTCTTTACAAGCCCTCCCCAGGAGTCGTACCAACCGTACGACAAGGTGAATTTCCAGCTGGCAATCGCGCTAAATGTATACAGAAATTTATTACGAGAACTTTTTGACTGAAGTAGTATATAGTGTAAATACGGGAAACTTTTTTGAACCTTACCCTGTTAAACCTAAACCATCATAAACATTTAAGGAATTATAAACTGAGTAGGCAACGGGAATTGACTGCCGCCACATCAGTAAATGTAAAGGATCAGATTAGGATATGGATTTTGTAGTGTTACAGATAAAGTTCAGAAAACAACTGGCAAGAAATAAGTTTCTGTATTCAGTTTTGAGTTAAGTAAGACAACAGCAAACAACCGAAAAAATAAGTTATCCTAAACGGCTTTGCTCCCTTTTGTTTTGGTTATTTAGGGGTTTATTGTACATGGGGAAAGTTCTGAGATGTAAGTTCCATCCGTATAAACTTCAACAGCTAATTGAAAAAAGAAGAGTTTCAGTAACTTAAATTAAAAGTGTAAGAGTCGTTGGAGGCTAGCGACCATCTTGGATAATTTTAAAGAGTCTCTAAGGAGTTACTTACCATCTCAAAATATTGTTTGTTCAAATTCCAAAGTGATTGTAATTTAAATAGGCCTAGTGAACTGTGAGATTAGACATTTTCTTTGTAGTTGTTTAATTGTTTATGAGTTAAGAGCGTCTAGACTCCAAGGACTTTTAAAAGGTGCTCGCTGGAACTTTTTGAACAGCTAAAAATCAAAATGATTTGATTACTTCTCTTAGGGCCCATTCACACGAGGCCACTGGTGGCGGCCACCGGTGTCCGCCACCAGTTACCGGCCGGGAAACTGCAGTGGATGATACAGGCAACTTACAAGCCACTCTACTACAGCCACTGTACAATGGTAGTTGTGAAAATGCTGTTGAACAATGAACATCTCCTTCTTCTCGCGTTGAAAATAAAGAAAATAAGGCAAAGACACAGACCAAATTACCGGTTACTTTTCAATTTCGCAAATTAGATCTTCAGTATCCACTTTGTCTTCTATTATTTGGTTTATTATCTTATTCTGTTGTTTTCCTTTGTCTTTTTCTTTTTCAGCAACGTCCTCTTTATTTTTCTTCTGATCACTCATTTTCACAAACAAACAAGTCAACACGAAAACGCTCAACAACTACCATAGTGCGTCTGTCTTTGCAGTCTGCACGTGAACTGATTCAAAATAGTGGCTGCCCACTCATCCACGGTGGCGGCCACTGGTTGCTACGTGTGAAAGCTCCCATTTAATTCAATGCCCCGCGACGAGTTGCCGCCACTGCGGTTGCCGACTAGCAGTTGCACGAGGAGACACTGCTCGGCCACTGTGTAGTGGCGGGCAGCTGCAGTGGCTGCGTGTGAAAGGTCACATTTAAAATAATGTTAAAGCTGTGGCGGGCAACCAGTGGCCTCGTGTGAAAGGGCCCTTAATCCAACTAACTTTAATTTCATATCTTTTCAGAAAAATTGAGGGTGAACATTTTTTTATATTTAAATGTATTTTAAAGAACATTATGTTATTACACCCATCCATAAACCAAAGAATACTTGTATTAAATATATTCCCAAGAGTTTAAAATATTAAATAACATCTGAAAACATTAAATATTTTTGGTGTACTGGATCTAACTAAGTTAGTATTTTACCCCAAAGTGTAGTGTGATTATTGTTATTCCATGCAACTATAAGGCTAATATATTTATCTATGTGTTGCTCTCGTTTTCCTTGGGAAATCTAGTTCAAAGTAAGTAATACTTCGCTTACAGTATTAGTTAGTCTAGAACACAATATTTTGGAGCTTTAGAAACTAAATAAATCTGGCAAAAAAATTAACTTGTTTTTCCAGTAACTCTCTGTAATCCCAGTTGAAATAAAGCTTATGTCAAACTTTTGAATTTACTATACAGTAATTTAGTGTACTAGTAAACCATATAAATACTTATTAAATGAATATTTCCCAAAGCCATGTTAGTATTAAATCACTAGAAAAATTTGCGAACATTGTGTCAGTATTTAAAATTTGAAATGTTTTTGATGTTCAAAATTACAGGGGGTTTTCTTGTTAATATATTTTTTATAGATTTGTTATGAATATTAGTAAAGTAATTTTAAACCCTTACATACTTATTAGACTGATAACAGTTGGTAATATGGCTTGGCTGTAATTGGGATGTTTAAAGATTTATTGATAGGTAGGTAGGCCTATATTTTTCCTGAACGATTTAAAAATGTATAAATGTTTACTCAGGTACAAATGGCCAAAGATAAGTTGGACTCTTCGCGTCTGGAGAATCTAACGGACAGTGAAGAGACGATTGCAGAGCTGTCTCGACGACATGATAGAGACAAACTCATGCTGCTAGAGGAGAACAAGAATCTCATTCTGGAGGTGGAAAAGGTACGAGTTGTTTTAGTTCCTATGGCTCTGTTATGTGCAAGAGCTGTGGTTACAGGGTTTTGTGAAGATGTAGTGATTTTTTGGGAAGGCAGAATCTATCCACCACAATAAAAGCCTCTTCCCTCGAGCTTATTGGTGATTTTTGATTGGATTTAAATTATATTAGCACCAGGATGGCAAGCAATTAAATTTTTGCGATCACAGAAGATTGCAGAATCAAAGATTCACCATGTTGCTGAAGGGGAATGAACATGATGTTGACATGACTGTGAGAGATTCAAGAGAATTGTTGTTGAAAACTTTGAGAAATCATAATCAACCCATTTATATTTTACTTAAAAGCTGTGGTCGAAGTAGACGTACCATATAATCTATGATATACTGTAAGTAACAATAAACTGGATCCAACACTCTTGCATATTAGAAGATTAACTAACGCTTGTTTGTAGATGAGCGATGAACTGAGCAGGCTACAGTCGGAGAGGAGGTTGAGAGAAGATGAGTACGAGGAATTGAGAACCAAACAAGAGGCCATTGCTCAGTGGGAGGCACAGATTACGGAGATCATACAATGGTAACAACTTTTGTTAATATTTATATAATATCTTTTAGGTATTTTTTATTACTTGTAGTCCATGGACCAATCTGTTAAGTAAGTTGCTGATATACTTCTACTCTAGGTCTAGTGTAGATAAAATTAATTCTAAAGGGAAAATGGAATATATTAACATAAAAAAACATTCCCTCATGATTCAAACCGTTATTTTGATCTTTACTGAATCGTATCGCAATTCGATGCATCAGTTCAAATTGAATCGGAATTTTGATGCATATTCAATGCATTGCTCACCCCTACCATATATTAGAATGAGGGCTTTTCTCTTTGTAACAATGTTAAATAAAAAACATTTATTTAACTGGGACGGGTGGCGTCGTCCTGTAATCCAGCTACTAGGAGGTCACGAATTGTGGATATTTATAAGCATGCACTGTGGATGCAATGCTCCCTGGTGTGGATTAACGTCCGCACTAGTGAGTACTACGACGATACGCAGTACTATCCTGATAATTAGACCAATTCATTAATTACAAGGAAAAATGTGGTTTCGGATTCTACTATAAACTGTAGGTCCCTTAGTTGCCATTAGCTGTATTTGCTATTAATTAACAGCTGTGTCTAAGGAATATGTCGGCCTTAGTCACTAACAAGACTACAAGATCGTGCGCCACTCATTCTACACTCATCCTTCACTCATATTTGGGTTAAAATATGCACATAGTGGCGTCCCCATCTTAAATAATTGATAATTGATTGAATTGAAAAAATAATTTATCAGCCACATGGATTTTCCTTGAATAAAAATTGACGTTTAAAAATTATTTACTTTTGTAAAACAAATATTTAACAAATTTTTCCTTTATTTAGTACCTAAGATTTAGATCAATTAATTATAAATATATTTTTTAGATTGTTCAAATATGTGCATTAATATTGGCCAAATTATTACCATTTTTTTTTTTTTTAAACAAATGTAAGTTAAATCTTTTAGATATTTTAATTGCACAACTTATAGTAAATTATTGTCTAGTAAAATTTCTTTATAAGATGCTGTACCGGTAGCTGTAGTAGTTGAAGTGAAGTCTTGCACAAACCCACCTATTGTACATTTCAGGGTGAGTGATGAGAAGGATGCGAGAGGCTATCTACAAGCACTTGCCACCAAGATGACTGAAGAGTTAGAGTTCCTAAAACATGCTGGCATAGCCAACGTCCCCACCTCGGTAAGTCCCTACTGACAATCAGCGTAAACTTGTTAGAAACACTCAGGGGGATTCAATGTTTTAAACATGGGACGTTGTTAAGGCTCAATTCTGATGTAGGTTCTTACTACCAAGTTATGAAGATTTTGAGGTTGAATTTGCCAAAAGCCACTCTTGTTGCTTAGGATTTCATTTCAGCATTGAAGTTTTACTGTGTAGGTTGTTAAGCACAAGTTATCCGTATCTCAAAACTTGGAGTAAAAGCTACGCTCAGGATTTAGTCTTTGGAAAATCATTCCATTAACTAATGTTTACTAACATCGATTGGCATTTGTAATAAAATATTATCTGTCAATTTATATTTCTATGTTTTCTGAGTCCTTGAGTCCTAAGGTTTTAAACGGAGGGTACAAATATTATTTTTTTGTACTATATTTTTTCATTGGCAATCAGTAAAAACTTGTAGGTTGTTTTCCTCGTTGACAGTTATATTATCACTTAGGACAAGACCGTGGATTAATCCTGTTGATTAACTTGTTGTGATTCGCAGGACAAAAATTGGAGGAATCGTCGGTCGCAGAAGCTTGAGAAGATGGAGTTGTTGAATCTACAGAGCAGCCTTCAGTCAGAGATACAAGCCAAGACAGCCATCAGTGAGGAGCTTAGCAAGACCAGATCTGATCTAGTGGCCTCTCAGAAGTAAGTCCTTCACTGGTTGAGGTTGCTGTGAAACGGAAAATGAAAACATTCATCTACGCGGTTTTATCATTCGAAATAACCCAATGTTAATTTTATGCTAGGGTTAGATCACAACCGAATGTTACTGTTAACCTAACCTGTATAGTGATGTAGTGGCAATGAGTCACACTAGCTGTTACAGTAGCTTAGAAGTCATAAGAAAAAGCCAAATGTGCCTGTCCCAATGAGTGAACTTAAGTGGCTGGTCTTGAAACAGAAATATATCTGGTTGGCAATCTGAAATCGTGAACGTTTTACCCGGTCACAGCCAAAATTGACAACATCTGAGGTCATGGTGAAATCGTGAACATCACCTGTGATCGCTACGAAATTGTTCATCACGTATCACGTGTCTTCTCAAACGCTTTTCTCAATCACGGAAATATACGCTTGGCTCAGCTCGACTTAACCCGAGCTAGGGGAGCCACTGACACATAGTAAAAAGGTGTCACACCTGGCAACTGGGAAAAGTTGAATTTTTTCTAGGGGTAGTGTGGCTACCCTGATTAACTAATCCGGACAACAGATATTAAGTGAATTATTTTATGTAAAGTTCCTACTTGTGTATATTTGGCCTATTCAGATTTTCCTTCAGTAAACCCAGTTCCTTTAAAAAACAGTTTGTTACAGCTTTTTCAGGTTTAACTGTTTTGATTGTTTAAAATGCTGAAGTTAAACATAAAGCAAGTGTAAGAACAAATTATTTACCTGGCGAGACAAGGATTGTCGAGACTTATTAGCAGGAACACGATGAATTTTGTTACACATTCCAAGACATGTGTAATCGTATATTAATCAAGTTGTGTTTACAGAGAGTTGCGAGACTTCAGGCAGCGTTACGACAGCATCTCTCACGAGTTGAAGCGCAAGGAGATGCAGATTAAGGAGTTACAAGGTCGTCTGGACTCAGGCGAAGGATGTGAGTAAAGACGCTTGCATGCTCTCGCCTCTGATGTAGTTGTAGCTGCTTGCTGTAGGTCTATAGTCAACGGACACTTAGTAACAACTTCTAGTCATTTTTTACCTAATGGATTCTTACTTAAAGCTAGTCAAAGAGTAATGAGCTGTGATAGTAAGTGGTACTCAGTTATAACTTGTGGTGTGATTGATATATACTCAGTTGGATTTAATGAGTAGAGTAAGTGTGTGGAATACCTCCATACTTGTAAATAAAGAGAAACCAATTGCTGTCTTTTGGGAAAACATAAGGTTGGTTTTACTATTCAAAAAACATAACCAAGTTTATTTTGTAAGGAATGTTGTTGGGTTAGCAGGCTTGCCTTAATGGAATAGAATGAATTTTTGCCTAAGAAACTTCAAAACTTTGTACACAATGAGTTACATATTTCACAACTCCGAAGTCATCTTGGACCAGATGACATATATTGTAATGTTGAACTAAAACTTCCTTTGTAGAGAATTCTGTGTATGGTGAAATATTTTAATCGTGTACAGTGAAAAGTTTCCAATGTGGTCTCTTTTCCATTCAGATAAGTTTGCTATTTCAACAACCATCCTAAAACTTATGCCATTGTCTTCTATTATGTTTATTTATATATGTGGGCACTCCCACATATTTATTTTAATCTTTTCTCTTCACTCTCAAAATTTATTTATCACTTACATTCTCTTCCCAATAATTTTTTTTATTTAGTTTTTCTTATTTCTCGAAGACAGAAAATTATTTTTCAGGAGTTCCAGTTTTTAGTTAATTATGTATTGCTATAATATTGTAATTTTGTATCAATCAATAAAACATTGATATCATCCAACTTGTTTTTTAAATAACACCTTAATGAATATAATAACCCCTAAATATAAAACCCCTTGTAAAGCAAGATAAAGTTATTTTGTTCAAAACAATTCTAAACTTCTCTTAATATTTTACTTGTTTCCATCTTATAACGTTGTGTATTACACGTTGCTTAGCTGAGTACTGTGCTTTTGTTACTGTAAAAATCAATTTAAAACTGTTACGCTTTTATACTTGGAATTCTCAGCAATTCTGACATATTCTCACAATATCCACTGACTGGTCCTGTAGCTAAGTGGTTGATCTTCTGAAGTTATCTCCTAAATTTAGTGGTACCTATGTAAAACCTCGATTATCCGGGGTGGTGGGGGGAGGGAGACCATGGAAAACTGATACGTCAATCCAACATGACATAAAAATATATTACAAACCCATAAAAAAGCATAAAACTTCAAATTTGCATATTAAGTCACCAAAATACAATATTGCGCAATCGTTAAGTCATTAACCTTGGTTTAGTAATAGAACTGTAACATTTCAAATCACAGCTTCTTCAAACTAATCACCCAATCACGTGCTACTAAAGTTGTCATGGTTACTTTCAATCACAAACTGTTGTGACACACAGCTGTGTAAGAGCAGATTGTCTATTGTCTTGCTTCAATTTTATTTTTGTCAAATGAACTGTGATGTTTCAAAAGCAATAATGTGGAAGCCTACTACAAATAAATAAACAACTAAAGAGAAACATATTTTATAATTTTTTTTTTACAATGAGGTTAGCTATGTAACACAATTTTAGAGGCGTATGTATATTAACCACGGTTGATCCGCTTCTGGTTAATCGAGGTCCTACTGTATAGACTTTTTGTGATGCTGCATGTTTTTTTTTCACCAAACATTAAAATATTTTATAATAAAGGTACTACTATTATTATCATATGAACTAACCTTGTGGTGATCCTTTGAAGGTGTTACAATTATTTATTTACTTTGGGTAATTTTTGTCCTTCCATTTTTTCCTCAAAACTCTATAAAATAGTGCATGTACAATAGACTACTACTAGTACTAGATATTACTAATATATATATCCTCTACAGTGTTTTAAAAATAAACTTTGTTTACATTTGTATTTTTTCTCTCTCCTTTGTTTTTATTTTCCATTCATCAAGTGTATTTATATTAATCTTGTGTATAGTTTATGGGTGATTAAAAATGTTTTTTGTCAGGATATTATCTAGAAAAAGAAAGACGGAATTATGTCATTTATTCTTGTATGTCAAATCTTGGGAAGAAAAATCTTTATAAACAATAGTCGGTATTTAAAATGGGGTTTATTTGTTGTTAATTTCTCCTTTGATACCCAAAAACTTTGGTTCAATAATTGTTTGTAATTCATCAGTACTTTATGTTGTGATTTTTTAGCCTTGGGTTTATGTGAAGCAAACATTTATGTATAAAAAATTGAATTTTTCACTGATAAATAACATTTACAAGAGCTGTTTTATTATTAGTTCAATATTTGGGTTGGTTATTACTACAAATACCCCCGCTGCAGCATTCCTGCAGACCAAGGAATTTTAAAATCGCCTGATTGGATTTTTACTAACATTTTTCCTTAAATATTTTGAATTTATTCCCTATTTATAGAATTAGGTTTAACCATGACCTAGGTTTGCTGTTTACCGTGAAGGGAAAATAGTGCTTTTGTTTTTGTAAAATGTTGATTGTATAGTTTAGCTTAAAAGAAATAAATTTGCCTAAATTGATCAAAATTTATTGATAATCAAGCAACATAGGTTTACTTTTTCTCTATAAGAACAAAATGGCAATTTTAAATATTCAATTTTCTTGGAATTTTCTATGGAGCCATTTATTCTACAACAACGCTTCAATATACAAAATTGGTTCTTTTTTAAGCTCTATATGATGGATGTAATGAAAATGGGCATTTTCATGTCACATGTAACAATTAAACCAACAATTGAAAACTTTTAAAATATCATACCACCCAACACCCTAATAACCATTACCTGATCTTGTTGGCTCAGGAACTCATTCTGCTTAATGTTGTCCTACACATCCATGCAACATTTTTTTTTTTTTTTTCTTGAGTTATTGTGTTCACAGACACATATTATAAACAAATTTGGACAAAAAGTGTTTTTGGCCTCTGGAGACATCAAATGAATAAATAAATTTGTTTAGGGCTCTTACAGAATTCATCTAAGGTAGCCTAATAACTTCTTCCCTATTGGGGAAATTCGCTAAAGCAAAGCAACACATGGAGACGTGTAAGAGCAAATAAAATCCCCAAGTTTAGCTGAAAGGTTAGACAATTAAAAATTTTAATTTTTTTTTTCAATAATGTTGTCATATTTACATCTAAAAATAAAGAGATTCGAAAAACATTTAGCTAAGTATTAGCTTTATTTGGATTCCGGGCAAATCTCAATATTTATCCCTTATCATCATTTTAACACATTACAAGCAAGATCGTGATCTCTGAATTATATTTTGTATAAATAAATCGATGTTTAAAAATATATTTGCCTTGTAAGTTGGACTTCCTAAATGATGTGGTTTTCATTCCTCTATTTATTCCATGATTTATTTCAGGCTTTTTAGCAAACACTTCTGAGCTTTAGGGAATAAATTTTAAAGCAGAATTGTGGCTTTACAATTTGAGTCCTAAAAAATAAAATATGCATATTTCCACTACCTCAAACAAGTACAAAGAATATTTTTGCATATTATCTCGAACAAAACAAAATGAAGAATTTGATTTTTAATTTAGAAGAATTAGTGTAATATTTAACATGTATACAAACTCTCTTCAAAATTCAAAGACGATAATTCAAGGACTAAAAATCCCTTTTTATTCAATACAATATTTAACATTTTACACTTCAGACCTTTCTCAGGTTTTTTTAAGTGAGTTGACGTAACTCAAAAGGCTATCAATGTTATTTGAGGACAAAAATATTGGAAGTAACTCAAGTACTACGCAAAGGACGTGCCTTTTAGAAGCTGCTGTAGCGGAAGTTGATGCAAATGTTTATTTGTAGACAAAATGCCCCTGTTTATTGGAGTCACCAGCTGTCTTTGGGGACTTCTTCTGCTGCTTATTCGAATGTATTTCTGAGATAAGGGAAACCACCTGGCCACCGCTAATGGTAAAGTAGAGTGTGCGTTGCAAGTTGCGCCCCCGCCCAGACAGTGATACTAACGCGATAACATCTCGTCCCTCACTCAACGTTGCCAAAGTCAGATTTCCTTTTTATGATATTTAACCAACGTATAGTCATGAACAAGCTAACATGGCTTAATGGTTGGACTTGTATCCTAGCTGGCTATTTGTTCACAGGTTCTACCGCTTGGTGCTCAAAAAATTTTTTTTTATTTGGTGCCAAATTTAACACAAATTGGTCTACATTAAATATTTTATTCCATTACTAGAAGCAAATTAAAATATGTAAATGTTGACAGATTTGTGTAAAATGTTGTATCAAATTTTATTTGAAAGAAGCTCCAAATACAGTAAACAATAGCCGACTCGAGCACAGGCCCTTAGGTTCGCGTTAGCTTGTCTCTAACTAAATCTATTTATTTTCCACAAATTTTAAAGAAATCCATTTTTGTTGATTCAATATATTTTGTCAGAAAATCATTGTAAAATATTATTTTTTTTATCAATCTATCGTTTTTATTTTTTATTTTTATTCATGTCTTAGTTCAAATGTGTAAAATTTGAAAACTTAAATCTTTTTATTATGTAAAATATTTTATAGTTTTTCAGCATAGGCTACTCTATTGAGTTTTTAATTACCAATTCCATTGATTTCTTAAACATTTTTTCCGGAGAATACAATCAATTAATTTTTCCCCAAAACTAAAAAATGCAGTGATTATCAGTTACCTAAATTAACCTCTTTTTGCTTTTGTTTCAATCGGGTGTAATCCATAACTGATTTTACCTCTGTGGTTGTTGCTTACACCAAACAACTGCTGTTTTGTTTTTGTTGCAGTGAAAAAAGTGATTTAGTGTCATTTAGATGAGTTTGTTTTATATTAACTGAGTTTTCTTACTTGGTTTTACTTTTTTCCTCATTTTTGTGGAGCTTAACTAACCTTAGTACCAGATAGACGGCGGTTCTCTTTTTCATAAAACAAAATAAAAGTGTTTAAACTTTTTACATTTAAAATGGTTTTTATTTGTACATTACTAAACGAACTGTTAATGGTAATTTTTTTCAAGGTTTGTACTGTGGTTGTCTAAAGAGAAGTTATGAGTAGCTTCATATTCATTAAAACCCCACTAGTCAAATAATTAGGGATGGACGAGATTGGATTTTTAGTTTCGAGACGAGACGAGACGAGATTTTTTATTTCTCATAAAATTTCGAGACGAGATCGAGACGGGATTTCCCTTCTCATACACAACGAGAAATGCACGTTCGGAATTGTTACCTAATTTTGTAACATTGTTAGATGACTGTTTAAATACAAAAATAATGATAATAGGCAAGAATATTTACAATCTTTTATTAAAAAACATCAGCATAATAAAATAAATCATAAAATAAAATATTAATTTTTATAAAATATTACTTGTTTTGACTTTTTTTATAGTAATAAAACATTCCTCACACTGCTAACACTTAACAAAACTTCTCAAATGTTATTAAAATAATTAAAGTAATATTTACATTTGAAGAATTAATTAAATAAGAACACCTTCGCAAAGGAAACGCAACTACAACACGCTCCTGTATTGCGGGTATTGCATTGACTTTCTGCAGGCGTTTTTAATTTTTTTTTTTTTTTTTTTAATTCTCGTCTCGATAAAAATCTTGGGCAAAAAGAAATCTCGTCTCGTGTAACGAGATTTAAAATTTCCCGAAATTTCGAGACTTGACCATCCCTACAAATAATGTAGCAAAATTGAAGTAATCTTACATTGATTGGGTTTAATTTATCTGCAAACAAAATTCAAATATGCATGTTCAAGGCTTATTGTTTCATCGTCTATAAGAGTCTGAAAAAAAATCCAGTAGTTTGTCCGTTTCATGTGGCCTCGATTAAATCTATCGAAGGGACAGTTGTTATATCACTTATTCCCTTGTCGGCCTGTTGAAACTTAAAGCCCACGCTTTTGCTTTTAATGCATGGAAAACGTCCATTTCAGGTGGCCAGGTATAGTTAGGTTCTCTTGATAGAACTGTTTAATGTTTAAATGTATAGTTAGCGTTATAGATGTCCAATCAACGAGTGTGCTATTTACAGTTAGATGAATCATCTAAAAACATATTAACTAGTTAGGGCCGTTAGGGTTTTCAAAAAGTCATTTAAAATTTGCTTTTCATAAATCCTAACTTTCTTAAATTACCAGATCGTTCGTTGGATGCAATGTAAACTTATTAAACATACTTGGACCAATGAAACAAATTGTAAAAGCTTAAACCATGATAATTTTTAACTTTATTTTTTATAATTTCTGAATATTTCAAGCAAATGAATCTAGTACTATTTCATCCAGCAAAAAAAATATTTGAAACGCTTCAGTAATCTTGAGTGGACTACAACATAAAATCTTGTGTTAACATTTTTTGTTGTGTTGTTAAACACTAACTTTTATTTAAAGTGTTACAATTTGTTATAATATGTTTTAATTTTTTTTACAGTTAATTATTTATTTATATTTTATGTCCAGCCAAGTTGGTAAAGTATTCAAACGACAAAGGAAAAGATTAAGATACATTGAAAACTTAATGGTGTAAACCACAAAATGTGATAAAAAAAATGTTTGGTGTAGGATTTTTAAGGTATTTACTCAGGGGAGGTACAGAAGAGGCAACGATGACAGCTGTGGGCTTCTTATTAGCTGAGGGAACGCCATTACCGTAACAATACGAGCTAAAACCATCGGCCTCGGTGGTCTAGTGGTTAGCGTGCCGGGCTGATATGCTGTAGCTCCCGGGTTCGAATCCCGCTAGTAACATTAACTTTTTGTCCAAGAGTTTTTCATTATCAGCAAGTTTGGTTGGTTTGGTTCGATTATGAGAGTTTTTATTATTAAGTTATTATAAAATTTTAATTGAGCAATTTCTAGTTTTATTTAATAAACAGAATTTATTTTTTCTATTACTAAACTTTTGTTATACTGTATTATTTTATTATCAGCAAGTTTGGTTAGTTCGGTTAGGTTATGATAGTTTAATTTTATAATTAAAAAATAATAAAATTAAATTTGAGGCATTTATAATTTTATTTTATGAACAGAACTATTTTTGTGATTAGTAACTTAAACCTTCATTGCCAAAGTGCTCTCTACTACAGCGCTGTTCACGGAGGAATTTTGAACTAATGCCTCAATCGTACCTCCCCTAAGTCAGACCCGATTTTTAAACAAAATGTGTTTTTGCTAATTCTTAAACTTTCTTTCATAATTTTGAATATAGATTATGCACTTTTCAACGTCATATATCCCATGCCCATGTCCTTTAATCAAATAAGCTGTCTTCGGATTCAGTTTTGTTCAAGGAAAGGCTCTAGGCCAGGATGTTGAATTGAACGTCTTCGAATTCAGTTATTAGTTTGCGCCGTTTGTTCAAGATATCCTTGCCAAGAATATTACTAAAGGTTAAATATGAAGAGTTGAACAACAAATCTTTTATACTAATAGAAGAGTTAATATTTACTCAACTACAGATTTAAAGATTATTTTACTCTTTGAGTATATGATTGTCCAAAACATCTCTTCGATTTAAGATCTATAGACTGTTTCTAAGTCCATGATTTACTTATCCTTTTTTGTCTCTGCAGCCTTTGGGGATGTAGTCAACGGTAAGCAATTTTCTGTTTTAAATGTGTTTTATTGTTGTGTTGTTTTAACAAAAGTTTTTAAACTAACACATTTAGGGATTGATTATTTAAAAAAAAAGTGTTAGTCAAAGTTTAAAATAACACTGTATTTTTATTTGCTAATTCCCATAAACACTAATGAGTTGTTATTTACTTGCAGTTTGATTTTATATAGAAACGTTAAGTTAATTTGTAATACCATCATTATAAATACATAGTTAATGTTATTATTGTATTGTTTTAAAAATAAATATATAAATTAAATATATATGTAATATTTCTGTTTTATGCGATTTACTCTAATTTAATTTGAGATTTTAAAGTAATTGGTTTTTTGTTTCTTAGTAAAATACAATATTATCACTTATTGAAAAGGTCAAGGATTAGATCTAGTTCAGGATAACAGGGAATAGATCAACAATTTGTATATAGATAGATGAAAAGAACACATTCTATCTTTGTCAAATCCAAATTAAAAAAATGTCCAGAATATTTTTTTTTTATTCATATGCTGCAATACTTTAATCTATGAAAGTAATAGTTGGCCTAAATTACAGGTGTTGAAATTCGTTTAGCTTCTCAACATTTACGGAGTATGTTTCTATCATATTTACTATGGCATGCTACAAAGTCAAGAATTGCTTTTTCTGATAATGATGCCATGCAGCATGATTCTTTGATTTTTAGACTTAGTGTGTTACTGATCATATAATGAATGTTAACTCTTTTTACTATAACTTGTTTTTATTTATAACAGTTCGCATATTTTTTTACTTCTAAAAATATTTTCTTACTAACTTGTATTATTTTGGACAGGAATTTTTACAAACAAATTGTATTAGACCATATATTTAATTCATTACAAAGCACAATTTTTACAGTGCAGAAGTGATGAGGCGTAATTTTTAGTTGTGTAAAGAGAAGATCTGGTCCAGGGGTTTATAGTTGGCTGTATTTTAAAAGGTGTGAAATTTACCAATGAAACTCGAATAATTTCAATCAATGGTTAAGAATTACAATCTCCAAAAAATAATTACGAGAACAATTATAACTATACGTAACCTCTAAATGTATAAGTAAACATTTTATTTTCTTCCAACACAGTAGGGGTAGATTATTTTTTATTTTGGGTTTTTTTAACTTATTAAATATGTCCATGTCCACAAATAGTTGTAAAACAAAAACTGAATAAGGCAAACTAAACAATAACATGATTCTTTATTTAATTTAATGTACTCCACACTTTGGTACTATGTAAGTTATCATATTGACACTACTTTTATCGTCTTGATGCCATCAGTTAAATTGTATCGAACTTATAACAATGTTTTTGTTTTATAAATGTATTTGTCACTATTGTAAGCCTTGGGAGTATTTTTGCATGCACATTTTGTAATGCGGCATAACGTTAAGTACAGGGTGTCCACAAAAGATAAGTACAATTTCATACCCAAGCCATATTTTTTTTTTTTTTTACATACAAAGCTCTACCTGTGTTGATTCGGCCACAAATGACAGTTTAGTTTTACAGACAATTGTTGGCAAGCTTGCTCATCTGAATAGATATTGTGACCTTAAATTGAAATTGTTGATTATGAGATACAATAGGTGAGGTTGGTGAACAAACCTAACTTCCTTTTTTCCTGACATAACTTCGATCAAAATCGGATAACTTTTGTTTGAGTTATCGGGCTAATGGACGTCATATATGTATATGAATTTGAACAGGTGGTATTTTTGGCCTCTAGGGACATCAAAATTAAAAATTAAATTGGTCCAGGTCTTACCGTGAGACCTACGCTAATAGCTTATTCCCTATGGGAAATTCACTAAAATACCACCTTGTTAGAATTATCATTGAAGAACTCCCGCTTTGACCAAAACTGGTAGAATTGGTAAATTAAGCACTCAATTTTCACTGAAACAGTTAGATGAAGGGATTTAATTTAATTTTCTCCCAGTTAAAGCATTTAATAATTTTTACTTGAAAAACTTGCCAACCACGTCTTTAAACATGTATGTCTCATTGACATGCATTTCATACCTATTATTTCTGTACATATCTAGTTTGTCATCTATGTTTAAACTACAGCAGGCTACTTTGTCATTAAATGTAATACAGTTTTAGGTTATGTAATTAAATCACCTTACGACACACCTTAACAATATTTAGTACATAATTTGTAACAAAATATATTTTATTGTAGATTGGTTCTGGTAAACTTAACCTTTACTGATGTAAAGGTATTTTGGCAGTGGGTGAGAGATAGATATTTTTGGGACTATCCAGATATGAAATTAAAGTTTATGACTAACTTATCTTTTATACAACGTACTATATACAATATTTCTTTATTGAGAAATAGTATATTTCGTACCTAGGGCCGAAAATGAGGTTTTGCCGGCTCGAGATAGTTTTTAAGTTCGAGACGAAGTCGAGAACTTAAATCGATCGAGAGCTGCAAAACCATTTCGGCCCGTGGTACGAACGCTATTTTTCACCACACTATACCCTATTACCACTATTCACCACTATAATAATGCACACTGATAGTCAACACAACTACAACTTTAAGGTTATGTAAAGAAATAATTTGAGGAATCAGCAAAAATAAAAATAAATAGTTGCTAGGCAACGGCGACAATAACACAATTCTATTGCAATGCTATGGATTTTGATTGTGTATTTAAAATGCATTCATGTTTTAAGTAAGTAAGCGGACAGCTGATTTTGCGGCCCCGGCCTGTAAAAACCTGCTCGGTCCCCAAATTTCGATGACAGCTGGCATGGCCAGCAAAACGTAACTTTCAGCCACCAATTAACGTATGTAATACAGCCAAAAACATCATAGTGTGGTGAAAATTACCTTTTTGTCTAGATCCAAAGGTTTACCGCAGGGGGCTCACGCTTGCGTGGGTTCGTGGCCTGGGCGACCACGCGGACCCTAGCTCTCCCAGAGGGGAGGTAACTGCCCGGTGTCAGACCCGGCACTTCAGGTAGACCACAGTTATGGACGACTGGTAAGCGCCAGCCCCTTAGGGGGAGCCTCCAGTGACATTCCCTCCATTCAGGGTGGGGGGGGTGTTTAGCTCTCAGTGACGCCGTTAATTCCGCCTCTCCTCAACTACCTGTAACTGTGGTTGTGACTGAGTCCTACCTGTTGTGTTCGACTGACATTTTGTGAGGCATATCCTCGACTTTGGAAGTAGCCTCGTCCTGGGAGGTGAAATACCTAGCCCCCAGAGGGGAGGTAAATGCTCCGTGTTGGTATCGGCATTTCAAGTTGGCCACAGACATGGTCGACTGGGCATCGGGTCCCAGTGACATTCCTTTATCCAGGATGGAGGGGTGTTTAGCTCTAGGAGAGATGGAAGTACATCATAATCTCTAACCTACCTGTGTCTGTGGTACTTTGGGCTTCGGCCTGCTTGTGGTGTGCGACCAGCATTCAGTGGGCAAATCCTCGACTTTGGAAGTAACCTTTCCTGGAGGTGAAAACGGGCAAGTACCCGCAGCTCACGGGGACACTCAAGGGCAACGTAACTTTCCGCAGTGTGAGGGCAACGGTTTGTAGGTACTTATGCAAACCTATCCCTGTCTCTGAGCACGGACGGTATGGTTATCTTGAGTGTGGGGGGTTCTTCCCGGAACCTCAATTGAGTCAAGGGTGTCGCCACCTCTGGTGGATAGGTTCATCCGGGTGGGTCCCACTTCTATACCTGCCTCCTTTTGGGAAACCCTGATGGCCTGGCAGTGATGTTGGGTCTGACGGGCAAACGAAGTAGATCGGGTGCTGGGTCCGAGCCCGCCAGGGGTATCTGGGGATCTATCGCTCTGGATATCTCTGGTTCCCAGCAATGGGTCAGGCCTCGATCGGGCAGCGGTGTAAATGGGAGGTTGGGGTTCCCCCCGTCAGCGTTCTGATGGTCCCCTTCCTCCTGGCTATCGATGGCGGGTTCTGCCTGTCAGGGATGAGATAGGTCCCGAGTGTTGCTTGCACTAAATGCGTCGGGGCGCTCTACTATGGACCTCTAGGTTCCGACCTAGTGGAACCCAGGTGGAGTGACGCTTAAACAAGCAGCCGGAATCCCTGGTTAGGATTGAGGGGCAACCCTCTTTCCGAAGGGTCTGCTTCGGCAGCCGGCGAGCCTGATGACCTTAAGTCATCCGCCCATGATGTGCTAAAGGTTGATGCGTAAGCTTCGGCCTACATCATGGGGCCCGGGTATGTCCTGTAGGATAGGTACCGGGTAAGCAGTCAGGGGGCTTCGGCTCTCATGACAACAAATCTAAATCTAAATCTAAAATCTAAATCTAAGATCCAAAGGTTTCAGGGTCTTCTTCAGACAGCTGTTGTTCTTTGTAGACTCTCTTGATTTCCAATCCAGTGATTTTCAAGTGTATTGCCTTGAGTGTTCAAACTTGCCTTCGTGGTGGACCTTGTTTTCACTTTTGACGTTTCGTTTTTATCTGTTGTTCTTCTTTGTTTCTCTTTTGCTTGAATTTTTTAGGGAATCCATAAATGCCTTCACAAACCAACCATAGAGTCGGAGTTAAGGGAGCTGTTCAGATGTTCAATATTTCTTTCTTCCAATCCAGTCTCCCAAGGGGGAATAACTGTAGTCTTATCACGACCCTAAGGTCGGAGTCAAGGGGCACTAGTAGAGATTTCCGCAGATCTTCAGTTCCTACTCTAAACATTGGGAGCCTAACATGCCTACTGTATCAGGGAGATTTGAGGGAGTATTTCATAGGTTTTTACATCCGCACCCTAAAGGGATCAAACAGTAGAAGCGATATGCAGACAATCTGGGCAGAACCCAAGACAGCCTACACACCCACCACTGCAGCGCTCAGCGGCCCTCTGTATACAGAAACCTCTACCATCTGAGGGGACTGAGTCATTCAGACTCCGGAATTCAGTGTTATCAGAGAATGTTTGCCGACATTGGGCCTTCCTCAAGCCGGGCGCCACTCCAGCGAGGATATTCCGGCACTAGTCAATGCAACAACAAACACCCCACTGATCAGCACCTGGCTACCACAGATTTTGAAGCGGAATCCAAAGAAAGGACACAGTCCTTGATACATTGCCTACCCGATCATTAGTTGTTTATCGTCTAAAAGCCTCCTAAGGTACCCTGACAAATTTGGAATTCGGGCCAAATTATGGGGTGACTGAGGAGTACTCTGCCATTTGAAATAATTATCCATCACTCGTAATCGCAAAACCGCATATCAGAAAATGTTGATAATAAATAATAAATTTAAATGTAAGAATTTGGTTTTAAAACTATAATAAAAAATAAATCAGGCTACAACAAACTACTTGAAACTGTACATGATACTGCATTGCTTGGTATTTAAAAATTTGTAATTGTGTAGCAATAAAATGTAAAGAATATCATGAACTAGTAAGGTTTAGTTTTTTTTTTTTTTTTTATGTAGATCTATCATGTTCAATAATATAATTATTTTAAGATTTTTCCATTGAAATTTTAAAAAGGAGGGCCTAAATAATGGTCATAATCCTTTTCAGTTGATTCAGTCTTGAAGTGAAGAGTATTTCTCTGTTAATCTCTTCATATCTTCTTTGATGGTTCAGCAACATCTACCTGTACAACAACAGTTTTTTGAGTGACTAAGTCCAACGGACTCTCACCCACTTGCCACGTTAAGGTTACCGAACCAATATGGAACTTGAGTGCTTGAGCAATCCTAAGCATTTAAGTCTAAGCACAGGGAAGTAGTGTCTTATTCTTCTTTTGTGGAACTTGTCAGTATTTAAATATTCTTTTATAACTTGGGATATAATAATTTACAATATGAAGTACTCTAATGCTACAACTGAACTAATCTTATAGCTATTATCACCATAAAAAATGTTAATCTAGACTCACGTGCGGTGCATCTTCTTGTCTTAAGTTTTAAATTTCAACTGGTTTAAATGGTTTCCATGGTAGTTTAATTTAAATTATAGTTCAATTTTTACCTGTAAAACAACTTTTCCTTAAAACTGTTACTATGGCTTTCCTTGAGCAGAGTTTAAATAAAATACCCCTGTCACAGCAAATCTGCAGACTAAGCGAATTTCCATTTGCGTGAATTGATTTTTAATTAAATCTATTTAAATAACATTAGGTTTAACGAGTACTTAGGTTTGCTGATACAGGGAAGCTAATAAAGTGTGTTTTTAGTAAAATTTATATAGAATAGATATAGAATAAATAAATTTGCCAAGTTTGATCAAAATATATCCATAAACAAGCAAAAGCTCTTTATAATGGTCTAGAAAGAAATTGGGAAATTTTGTGTTTTGAGGGTCAATAATGAGAAAACCCAATTTTTACCCTGTTAAAACCCGTTCCCATTGTCCGATCATGTTGGTTTGTAAACTCAACTCATTCAAGTGTATTCCACCTACACCTTCAAACCAAATTTTATCAAAATCGGACAATAATTACTCAAGTTATCGCATTCACGGACACATATATAAATCTATATGATATATAAAAACATTTTGAACTGTTGGTGTTTTTGGCCTCTAGGGACATCAAAATGAAAAAGTAAGTCAGTTCCGGGCCTAGGTCTTACCGTGCCACCAACGGTAATAGCTACTAGGTAACAGATTTTTACACATGCATTTAAATGGAAATGTTGTTTTTTTTTATTCCTGAAGAAAGGCATTCACGATTTCCTCTCTTAGTTCATTAACGGATGTTTTTGACAAGAAGACAATGACCTTTATTCACCGGATAAGGAAAAGTCACATGAAGTGATGTCGGGAAAACTAGGAAGCCAGTATACCAACCCCGGCCATTAAATCTACCAGTAAACATTTCATATTTTAGGTCACAATATCTCTACGCATAAAAAAACTTGACAAAAATTACAAGTAAAACTAAACATTCATTAAAACATTGTACGTTGAAAAATTACAGTTTGGCTAATCTATGAAATTGTACTTATCTTTTGAGGACACTCGGTACAACATTTCTCCATAAGCATGAGTATTTTGTCTTAACAGGTGGTATGAGTTGCATTTTTTGAAAATTATTGGAAATTAAGATAATTTTTACAGGTTTTTTGGCATTTTTGATTGATCTATCAAACTTTCTTTTACAAATAACGTGCATATGTTTTTATGATATGTGTTAATTTGATATTATTTTTACTTTAATTTATAGGGTTGGGATTGTTCTTTTTTATTCTATCCATTCATATTAACTATAATTATAATTGGGGAAAATATCCACTTTCTCCTCAATCTTTAAGTCAAGTCCTTAATTATCCCATTTACCGCCATGCTAACGAATATAATATTTCATGTTGGTTTTTATTGCTGTCTCTCATCAACTTATTGTTTGTTTACTGAAGTTTACAACAAGCTGCTCATTCTGTTTGGTATTGTTTAATATTTGGTGTATAATAAAGCAAATGGTAGCATAAGCATACTTTGTTGGCTCAATTCAAATTCTTTTTTTAACTAGGCCTAGATTAAATATTAACATGGGAAAGGTATGTTTACATAACATTTGTGTATCTATGTTATCTGTTTGTGTTGGTGAAGAGTGCATGTCTCGTGTAGCTTGGGTGCTTACTGTGTTGTGTCGCTTGCAGTTCTGGAGCGACCCTCGTCCCAGATGTCGTACCTCGACCACTTCCTCAAAGAGACGTCGGCGCGACACGGTGGCTCGGTGGAGAGTGAGGAGGGAGACATCGAGGATAACCGAGCTCCCTCGATAGCAAGTAGCAAGAGTAACCTGTCAGAGATGAGCATGGTGAGTTGGATAGCGTGAGACGTTAAAATAATATGTGGGTTTTGATTGATGCAAACGAGGTGTCCAGCCAGGAAAACTTACCTTTTTGTTAATTGTACGTAATTTGTATGGGACTGGAGAATTCGTAACGACCTCCAATATCCTATTTCCGTGCGTATTGGTTTTCCTTTAACTTGGTCACCTGTAGCGAGGAAATGACAATCGCCTGAGACGACTTTGGTGTTGGCGAGACTGCAAAAGATATATTGCTGCGGTTGCAGCCGTTGCAGGAGACAATCACGGTGTCACAAGAGTTCATAAAGGGTTTTTTTATGTTTTCGGGGGATGAGTACAATGTTACTGTGATCCTGGTGTCAACCACTTTGAAAATTTAAGACTTACAATTGATTTATGTATGTAAATAACAGAGAATTAAATTATGAGTAGATTATTAATAAATTTTATGGTAATATCACTTAAATTTGAGATTTGGTTTTGGAGTTATAGAATCATATTTGTGATTGGAAATGTCTAACAAATAGGTACTAGGGTTTCTTTTTTCATGGACAAGCTTTTACCTGGAAATTTTGAACCTAAAAAACCTTAAATTTTACTTGTATATCCTGCTGAACACTCTGGTAAGGCCCCTGTACATTGCCACATTATTTCTGTTTGGTTTCATCCATGTTATGTCAAACCTACTCAATGCAACTTCAGTTTTAATGCATCTGCTTCTACAAGTTACAGAGCATGTATTCTAGAGCTCTTTATATAATGCAACTAAACTTCGTGGAATTGAAACTATATGCAACTGAAATTATGTCTGCTACCAGACTAGCAAGTTTACCTTTTCTGCCACGCTTAGTATTCTACCGTTGGAACCTTCCAAGGCCATACTTATGTGCAATGCTTTTTTGAACACGTTTCAACCACTGATTTAGGACTAAAATTCATTTTCAATTTTCTGAAACAAGTCGCGAGGTAATTTTTGTTGATTTGATTTTGGGATCTATCAACATTTACTTCATTGGTTCAATGTAAATTGTGGTTGTACACAGTTATGTCATAGTTTTGTTACTTGTGTTTTTGTTCATCACGGGTGATTGTGTTGTGTTAATTGTATGGTTATTCACTGTTTTTAATTATACTATTCCAAGAGAGCAAGTTTTGGATGACTTGTTATGGAAGGTTACATATTTTATACTAATTTATCCCCCCCCCTCATCTAATCGTGATCACTTCATTAGAATTGTTCCATCATCTATTTGAGTAATCTTGCATATGTCACAAATATGATGTTTGATTTACAATATTAAAAAAACATTAGGCCTATTTAAAATGAAATTATTTAAAATTATTAATATTTCTCCAAACAAGCTAAAAATCCCACAGCGTTTTAAATAAATCAATGTCTTTACACATAGAGCTATTCAAATGAAATATAAATGTTAGGGATTGACGGGATTGAATTTTTAGTTCGGGACGGGACGGGACGGGATTTTTATTTCCTTCCCGATTTTCGGGACGGGACGGGACGGGATTTTTTTCTGTGCATAAAAAGAAAGTACTGTATTGCAGTTACCAAAAAAAGACATACGAAATCAATTTTTACCATTTGTGGCACTGATCTATAAAAACCAAAAAATGGGTAACAATTTACAGGTACCTATAGTAACTTGTGACTCGCGGGTCACGGGGTGATCGTCTGTATGACTCGCGGTCACGACGTGATCGTCGTCATGACTCGCGGTCACGGCGCGATCGTCGGTAGGACTCCGCGGTCACGGCGCGATCGTCGGTATGACTCCGCGGTCACGAGGTTATCGTCGGTATGACTCGCGGTCACGGCATGATCGTCGGTATGACTCGCGAACACGGCTCGATCGTCAGCATGACTCCGCGGTCACGGCGCGATCGTTGGTATGACTCGCGGTCACAGCGCGATCGTAGGTATGACTCGCGGTCACGGCGCGATCGTCGGTATGACTCCGCGGTCACGGGGTTATCGTCGGTATGACTCGCGAACACGGCTCGATCGTCAGCATGACTCCGCGGTCACGGCGCGATCGTCGGTATGACTCGCGGTCACAGCGCGATCGTCTGTATGACTCGCGGTCACGGCGCGATCGTCGGTATGACTCCGCGGTCACGGGGTTATCGTCGGTATGACTCGCGGTCACGGCGCGATCGTCGGTATGACACCGCGGTCACGGCGCGATCGTCGTCATGACTCGCGGTCACGGCATGATCGTCGGTATGACTTGCGGTCACGGCGCGATCGTCGGTATGACTCGCGATCACGGGGTTATCGTCGGTATGACTCGCGGTCACGGCGCGATCGTCGGTAGGACTCCGCGGTCACGGGGTTATCGTCGGTATGACTCGCGGTCACGGCTCGATCGTCGGTATGACTTGCGGTCACGGCGAGATCGTCGGTAGGACTCCGCGGTCACGGGGTTATCGTCGTCATGACTCGCGGTCACGGCATGATCGTCGGTATGACTTGCGGTCACGGCGAGATCGTCGGTATGACTTGCGATCACGGGGTTATCGTCGGTATGACTCGCGGTCACGGCGCGATCGTCGGTATGACTTCGTCTCCTGCGTTCGCGGACCTATCGCTCGCAATAACGGCGTTATCGGCACTCGCGAAGCGGAAAAATCGCCGACGATCGGACCAAATCCCGTCCCGAAAAATTCCCGAGTCAATTGTAATCCCGTCCCGATAATCGGGAATATTTTTTTCCCGAAAAATTCCCGAAATTTCGGGACCCGTCCATCCCTAATAAATGTTTTACAATGGTTATAAAATAAGTGGGAAAAAGGCAGGAGATTTTTTGTTGACTAACTAACTAGTCATAAATGAGAAAATTTAATATTTGTTCATTTAAATTTAAATAATAAAATATTTTATAAACTCTAGGTCCACCCATCCTTATAACGCACACAACTTGAATTTGCTCAATCATTTCATGGTTCCTAAAAAGCATTACACGGGGTCTTCACAACAAAATTCTCACTAAAATAAAATCTTTCCCAACCAAAAAATTTTTATTTGGAATATTAGTTTTGTTGTTGTTTTTTTTTTTTTACCTAAAATAGTTCTCTAAATTTGACGTTAAGAATTTAATATGTAGCCTATGTATTTGGGGTAAGTTTCAATATTTGATGTCTGGTAGTATGCACAAGCTATTTTCAGTGTTTATTTAAACCGTTAAATTTACATAGCCTAAATTATTTATGTTGTTACAATTTTTTTTTTCAAAACTTATCTAGTTGTTCTATTAAAGATGAATTATTGCTCCTAGTTTTATAATGCAATGTTCATATGCATCAAGGCATCGTTATAAATTACTTTAGTTGTGATGAACGTTATATGCAAATGTGTATATAACTATATAACTTGCTTACGTATATAGTGTAGAGAGTAGAGACTCACCAATGATCAGAGTTAAAGCTATGTTCTCAGCAACCACACTGACTCATGGAGGAGCTTTTGTTTGTTAACCTGTTTATCTCCCTCTGATAACACTAGTACACTGCTTTTGTCAAGTGATAAATATTTACTACAGAGAAGATCTAAGCTGTTGGATATATTCTCACCATTCATGGTATGTTGCAATAATTAAGAGACATTAAGAACTTTTATTCACACATGACATAAAAATGCATCATTGTTACCTTAAATTATTGTTTTTTTATGTTTTGAACGTACCACTACTACAGGTTATAAGGTAAAACAGGTCATAGGTATAAATTGAATATTTTGGTTGACATAGATGTTAGCTAAGTGAAAGTTAGGCTAAACATACTACAGTATGAAGTCACCTCCTAATATGTGTATAGACTATAAATGTTGGGTTACCAAAATTATTTTGCTTATCTATATTCACTATACTTAACTCCCGGATAAGTAGGGTGGAGGCTTCCCTAATACGTAAAATCTACGTTATTCCGTAACATGTTATTCATTTAATAGGAAAGAATTTTTAAAATACAGACTGTAAAAAAATACTAAACTGTGCAAATTAACATAATTATATTGCATTATTAAAAAAATACCTGAACCCTGTATTAGAGAAATCACAATGTATAACAGGGGTAAATTCAAGGAATATGTACAGTATGTAAGATCAAATAGAGTAAAATATTAGGATGTGTAAGAGGGAAGGGGTCTATGACCTTGAGTGAAACACAGATTGTTTATGCCCTACCACGCTTCCTTTCAAGAAAAGACCCTACACTCTCAAAAACATTGACCTACAGTTTGATACAAAAACATTGACATGTGTTGGAATCTAGGACTATCTCTTTCTTCATTTAATTAAACTACTTTTTTCCTGGAACATTTCCCGGTTAACCAGCCACGAGGTTAATACGATTATGGTTCAGAGATCAGTCAGAACCATATATAAAAACCCTATAGATCAAGGATAGCTGGGTCCAGTTTTTAACCATAAACACAATCAACGCTCAGGATCACACTGTCGAACTCTCAAATAACTAATTATTTTAAGGTGTTTGCTTACCCATGCTGTGGTTTATCATCAGTTTATATTATTAGGGAAAAATTATGTTTTGTTTTTAAAATATATTGTCGTACCATTGGTTGTATTAACTGATTAATGATATACAGTCCCGCTATTCCGATCATTTGTGTAACTACAATTTTGAAAGATGTTGATGATATGGCTGTCATTACGAGAGATGATGATGATGTTGCTGCGTATGTGAGAGAAGAGAACATGCCGTCCTCACAGGAAACTATGACAAACATTTCAGTATATTGAAAGCTTCTCTTTTGTCCACAGAGACATCACTAACTTCGCCAACGTCCACAGTCAAATTACTACTATTGCCAATGTTTGTGTTATCATCGCTACATTCTCCATTGTTATCGGCAACATTTGCAAATTTTGCCGACACTGACCAGTTCGAAACAGGCAGATTTTCGAAATAGCTGTGCTTGGAATGGGACTTTGCTATTTATTTATTTAAAATATATACTCCTGACTGTAGCTTCAACTACCTTGTGCCGCCCCAGTTGCCCCCTTCAGGCTACAACCTTATCACCTGACCTGATTGCTGCTATAACATGGATGATCTTACATCATCATGATGGATTTACCAATGATGACAATATGTTGCAGGACCATCACGGCCATCATCACCACCATCACCATAGTCATAGTCATCTGCCTCCCAAGCCCAAACATCATCAGTTCCTGGTAAGGACGTTCTCCTCTCCCACCAAGTGTAACCACTGCACCTCTCTCATGGTGGGACTGACTAGACAGGGAGTGGTGTGTGAAGTGTGCGGCTTCGCCTGTCACATGGCCTGCTGTGATAAAGTACCACCGGTCTGCCCCGTGCCTCCCGACCAAAGTATGATCATTGTAAATTCATATTTTTATTTTAGTAATATTATTTGAGGCGTAACATAAATGAGGTGGGAAATAAGTTCTAACGATAGTCTCTGGAATTTTTTCTGCACTTAGTACCTAAAACATTGGTGAATTTATGTAACATAGTATACTTTGGTGAGTAACAATTGTTCTTTCTCAGCTAAAAGATTCCAGATCAGAACGTTGTGAAATTTAGTTTTTCACTATCCATGATAGGAATGTCCTCATTAGTACCCCAAATAACATAAACCACACCCAAATTAACTTTAAATGAGAATTTATGAAGTAAATAGCCACCAATAAATGATTAGTCCTTTTCATGGAGTCTGTGAGTAATTTTTATGCAGGTGGACATTTGAAGTTGGAATAAAACGAATCTGAGAGAGAGAGAGATAAGCTTTTGGTTATTTAATATGACCGAATAAAAAAGGCTTTTCATAGTGCACTGTGTAATACAGTTTAGATTAATCTTTTTTGGTGTTGAAACAGAATTATGTGGCAAGCAAAGGTTAAATAGTGCCTTGTTATGTCCACTGCTTGACAACAATAAACATATCAATTTAAGTTGATTCATACACATTACTAGAAGTTCTGAACTTTTTCAGTGATGAATACAATAAAATACATTTGTTTGTTAAGGAATTGAACTTGGGATACATATAGGAAGAAGGAATGGATAGACAAGTAGACAATTTTATATTTTACCTCTACAAGGAGCTTTTGTAGAAGGAAGTAATAAAATGGCATGAATCTAATATGTATCAATACTATTTTTAATTAATGGTTTTAAAATCATCGAAACTTGAATTAAATTCATTTTAATGTTTCACACCTAATACTTTCACAGCTAAGAGGCCGCTTGGCATTGACCCTACGCGAGGCATCGGCACAGCGTACGAGGGCTATGTCAAGGTACCCAAGACTGGCGGAGTGAAGAAAGGCTGGGTGAGGCAGTTTGTGGTGGTCTGTGACTTCAAGCTGTTCTTGTACGACATCTCGCCTGACCGCAACGCATTGCCTTCAGTGTACGTCAGTCAGGTGTTGGACATGAGAGACGAAGAGTTTGCTGTGTCTAGTGTGCGTGACAGCGATGTCATACATGCCACCAAGAAGGACATCCCCTGTATATTCAGGGTGAGTAGGGGTTTAAATAATGTTACTGTGTTGAAGGTTGAAGTGTTCAGTGGTTTCAAATGGTAAATAAGGCATAAGTAAGGGGTTAAGATGTAGTTACTAAATTTCTGCCTTCAAAAGCCTGTAACCATATAAAAATATTGTAGAATCGGAAATCAGAAATCCTTTATTGTCCTTAAGCAAAACAATCTTGCAATAGACATAGTCACATATTAGTTATTTACAAGAAGAGAAAAGAACAATTGTAGTTGATCCATCTTGTAACTTTCTTTTTAGTTGCCTATAGTTTACGAAGACTTTACCATCTTTAGTCTGATGTTTAGAGTTGATAGTCTAGCTAAACGTATGGTTTTTAATATTTCAAATGTATGTTATAGCTGGGCTACATTGACTTTTTCAATAGCAATTTCATTTTCAAATAGGCCACAACCTGCTTTAAATTTATGATTTTGCTCTGCTGTTTTACAGATAACAACGTCACTAATGGACCCTCCAGGTCTCAAAAACCACACACTCATGTTGGCTGACACTGAGAGTGAAAAGAGCAAGTGGGTGGTGGCACTGAGTGAGCTGCACAGGATACTAAAGAGGAACAACCTTCCCAACACTACGGTCAGTGTTACGCTACTGTACTCCTTAGCTTAGCTCGTAACGTTTGGAGTCTAATAGCTTAAAGTCACATAACAGTCATTAAATATCTATGAATCCCTTAACTTAGTGTTTCCCAAATACTCTAGCTGATAAGTCTTGCTCTAAACATGTTACCTACCAGTTGTTTCACTCCTGTGTAAAACTGGGTTTCCTAGGCCGGGGCGCGGACAGCAGAGCTTTTCTCTTGTTTGAGGTGATTTAATGGTACTGTTTTCCTGGAAGCGGAGCGAAATGCCACTGGACGAGAGGAAAATTGCTTCTCAGTCAAATCTTGAAGATCATAGGCCGTCTTTTGTTTTGTTTCAGTACTTTTAGCAAATTATTTTGAACTAGTGTACCGGTTGCTCGAATTCGAGCAATTGCTACGTATTACAGGCGTTATTTTAAAACGAATAACAGTCATAATTTCTGATGACTTTAAAAGATTCGACTCAAATATTATGGAAATACTCAAGATGTACATAACAGATCGATATAATCAACATTTCTTGTAAATATCTTATCATTTTTCAAAAGCTGATCTTGTTTTTTAGTGTTTTCTACAAATAGCTTTACTCATAGCCACATTAGGTTGTCCATAATAACGATTATAATAAAAAAAAACATTATTTCTATTTCTTCTCCTTGGTGGTGTTCTATGACTTTCATATGTTTCCATAGTATGCAAATCGGCTCTTTCAATGATTAACACAGTGTTAATTCAGTTTTCTTTTTAGTATATCAAATTATCCAGGGTCTCCCGCTTTTTCCCATTGTAATATTTACGGCAACCAAAATTCAAATTGTAAATATTTCATTTCAACCAAGTCAGTAAATGTTTGTGGCAAACCGTTAAATTAGCAAACTTATTGACTGTTTAAAATCAACATAATTATGCTCTTCTTCTCACTTTTAATTTCTGACAACAGCTGGAGTTTCATAACAATTTTTGTTTCCCATGTTAATCTTATGGAGAAATATGAAACTTTAAAGGGCTCCAGGGCCTCACTCACTAACTATTTCCCTAAAAAAAAAGTTTCCTGCACAACTTCACGTTACGCTCTTTCCAATGACACCAAAAACATGTCAATCGGTACAGTAGTTTCGGAGGAGTAATTGTCACAAAAAACCTGCTTGCGTATTAAATAAGTATATAGATTTTAGCCTTCTGATCGCATTTAAACACTATAAATTGGTGTAAAATACTTTATCAAAGCATTTTGGTATGGCAACCAGTTTCAACTCTCATGGGAGTCATCCTCAGGCCAGTCAAGATGTCTAGTTGCTTTATATGAAGGTCGTTAAATTATAATAAATATGACAGTACATTCACACATTTAAATTTGGACATTTACAATGGTAAAAACAAAGATAATACTGTAGCGGTACGGGTTACGACAAGATTCTTGACCTAACTTCCTACCAATAGGTAAGTAGCTACAAAAATAGGGAATTTCTTGTACAACAACAGTTTAATGCTTACAGTTGTGACGGTTCAGTTGATTTACTCAATAGACTTGTTTATTTTCAACCTTACTTTATGTGCTGCAGGTGTTTAGAGCTAAGGAGTTGTTGGACAACACGTTGGCCTTTATCAAGAACGCCATGTCAGGGGCCATCATAGACCCAGACCGCCTTGTATTGGGCACTGAGGAAGGATTGTTCTGCTTGGATTTGGATCGCTCTGGTGAGTTCCTTTCTTGTTCAGTAATAATCTGACGGAATCTACGATTTTTTCTTACCTGTTAGCAAACTAAATAGATGAACGGATAAGAAAAAAATCTTAGATTCCTTCAGATAGCCTAGAAATGTGTTTAAAAGTTAATGGATCCCATAACCCCCCCCCCTGATCTAGGGGTTAATCCATACCCCTACACCCCCTTTTACTCACCTCCTTGCCATACATGGACTGTGGGTGGAGTACAGTTTGTACTTGGCAAGAGTTAAGCACTTTTAAAAAGGTTCATAACCACTGTACTATTGTCAAACTTGTAATTTAGTGGAATTTATCAAAAGGGAAGAAGCTATTTCAATTTTTTGTTTTCATTACTCATTTTGTTTTCTGATGTTACAGAGATCGCTCGTGTTGGAGAGGGAAAGAAGATCTTCCAGCTTGAATACGTTGTGGAAGAGCAAGTCTTGGTTTTATTATCAGGTGAGATAGGCTACTCGATACCAGATTCATTATACTGTAGAGGCTCACAAACTCGAGGTGGTGTGGACCAAAAACGGGCTTAGTTTGAAACATGCCTGGTTAAAAAAAAGGACGGTAAATAAAACCGAGACCTTCTTTTATTTCTCATTTACATGAACTGCCACCATGACATTATATTACTGTACATAAAAAAAATTCTTAAAATATAAGGTTATGGCGGTGGTGGTTACTGGCTGTTCGTAAGATATGCTTGACTAATCCTGGTCTCAGGATCTGTAAGTAGCGCTAAGATGATGGTAATTTTCTAGGTAACTATTAACAAAACCTAGTTCTGTAATTTGCCACACCGTTTAATATTATATGGGCTTGGCATAAAACTTCTTTACAGGTTCGCCAATCCTGTTGGGTTATCATGTGCCGAGTATAGGGAACTCAACTATATCACTAACTTGGGTAGTGCTAAACTTTAAAGACTTATTTGAACAATTTTTAATTTGAAGTTGAAAACCAGTACGATACTGTAAATTATCTCTTTGGTTTGATAGTTTTGGTTACTGAGCCATGTTATGTTGTAGGCAAACAACGTCACCTGAGGCTGATACCAGTGAGAGCGCTGGATGGTGATGAGGTGGAGTGGATCAAGGTGGCTGAGACTAAGGGATGTATCACATTCACTACAGGGGTCATGACTAGGACGCCTCAGCTGGCCTACTGTCTGTGTGTGGCCATCAAGCGACAGGTCAATAGCTACAATAGTTTGTAACCCATATTCATGGAAGGATAGCAAAAGTTCTTTATGATATAATAATTAAAATGGAAATTTGGAACCCCTAGCAAGGCTGACTAGACTGTTTCCATCAAAATCCTAAATATTTTGGTCTTTGAAGGCTTATTGTTGAGGAAAGATAACAGATAGACTGAGTTTTGCTATCTGTATCTAAAGCGTAGACACTAGATTAATTTCTTTCTACAAGGTTGGACGTACAATAAAACCCCTCAAATCCTGCATCCTATAGACTGAACAAGCCTTAAAGCTCATTTTGTGAAGTTTGTTTGCAATTGGCTGAAGTTGAACAAAAATAAAATTTGGATCTAAAAATTGCATGGTAACTTAATTAACAGTCGTTTTGACTGTATTTTTAGTAGGGATGGACGAGATTGGATTTTTAGTTCGAGACGAGACGAGACGAGATTTTTTATTTCTCATAAAATTTCGAGACGAGATCGAGACGGGATTTCCCTTCTCATACACAACGGGAAATGCACGTTCAAAATTTTTACCTAATTTTGTAACATTGTTAGATGACTGTTTAAATACAAAAATAATGATAATAGGCAAGAATATTTACAATCTTTTATTAAAAAACATCAGCATAACATTTTTTTATTAATCATAACTTATTAAAAATGCCTACGATTAGGAAACATAGTGATATCAGTTAGGTTAGAGTTCAACTTATCCTAAAATAAAATAAATCATAAAATAAAAGCAATATTAATTTTTATAAAATAGTTACTTGTTTTGACTTTTTATAGTAATAAAACATTCCTCACACTGCTTACACTTAACAAAACTTCTCAAATGTTATTAAAGTAATATTATTAAAATAATTAAAGTAATATTTACATTTAAAGAATTAATTAAATAAGAACGCCTTCGCAATGGAAACGCAACTACAACACGCTCCTGTATTGCGGGTATTGCATTGACTTTCTGCAGGCGTTTTTAATTTTTTTTTTTTTTTTTTTTTTTCTTATTCTCGTCTCGATAAAAATCTCGGCCAAAAAGAAATCTCGTCATTTTAAAATTTCCCGAAAATTTCCCGAAATTTCGAGACTTGACCATCCCTAATTTTTAGCATTATCACTACTAGTCTCCCAAACACTTTAAGATTGCCCCCAGTTATCTGGAATTTTCAGTAATTCGGCACTGTTAAAGTCCCAATAGTGTCTACAGTTAAGAGTAGATAAAATGCCTAATAAACTTAGTATTGTCTCCAAACAAGCTATTTGTGTATCAAGCCATCTTATAATGTCTTCAGAAATATTCTTCCAATTGCCTTTGTATTCTTTCTGTATTGGAAGCATAATGCATGTCTTCACTCTCTGTGCACGTGTTACAGAATACATCGCAGGTGATCATCTATGAGATAACAAGGACCAAGCTTCGCCACAAGAGAGTAAGAGAGGTGATGTTGCCCACTCAGGCCCAGTCATTACACATCTTCAGTGAGGGCAGACTGTGTGTGGGATACCAGTCAGGCTTCAGTGTGTACAGCATCATGGGAGATCACCACCCTCTGTGTAAGTGTAAGTTTAGTTCTAAAATACAGTAGAGCGTCAAAAGCCCGAACCAATTGAGACTGTAGGTGGTTAAGATTTCAAACATAACCTAGAAATGCCTAATAGACACATAATTAGGCCTACAGTATTAATATTCAGTTCTACAATACAGTAAATAAAATAAAAACAATGGTTTTTGTACTTAAGGTATTTTTGGTACATTACCGACAAGCCGACTGTGTTGCCCGCGAAATTGTAAAACGTCTGTTGTTTCAGTGCTAATTAAATATTTTGAAATCATCAGGAGTGGTTCAGATTTTTTACGCTCTACTGTATGGATAAACTGATTAGCTAGTGCAACATGACTACTACTCTAGTATGAATTTTTAAAGCTGTTGAAGACAAAACCTCCGAAAAAACTTAAAAACAATGACTGATTTATTATTTAACTTTTGATTATACAGTTGTACAGTGTTGTTAAACCAAACTCATAGCTTAGCCTGGTTCTAGCAGTCAACAGTGGTGCAATATTGTATGTGGTTGTTATGTTTGCAGCCCTGATCCACCCGGACAACCAGCTGATGGGGTTCCTGTCGTACAGTGCTGTGGACGCCATGCGAGCTGTAGAGTTACCACGTGGAGAGTTCCTTCTAGTCTTCCAGTCTCTGGGTGTCTACGTGGACAGCCAGGGACGCAAGTCTCGCGACACTGAGCTCATGTATCCCGCTGTGCCTACTGCCGTCAGTGAGTATCACTTTTTACATAAAGACACTTTGCCCCCAGGAGAACATAGTTGAACGAGCCACTTAAGAAGTTTGTTTCAAAATAATGTTTTCTTTTTTAGCTATCAATACACTGATCTTATGTGTGACATAAAATATATTAAGATTGGTTAAGTTAGTCTAGGCAGCAACACACTATGTTGTTGGTTCAATTCAAATGCGGCATTTTTATTCTAAGACTGGCTACAGTTTTATCATAGACATGAGTTGTCTTTTACTCTCTTTGGTCTATGTCATACTCATTGATTGTATACAGGTCAAATTTAATCAATTTGAATAATCTTTCTTATTTGTTGGTCAGTTATTGATAGTGCAGTGAGTAAATCTTTCATATTATTTTGTTGACTGACCAATAGACATTCTTCTAAAAATACCTAGGGATTTAATAAAGTGTTTGTGCCTGATTTTGTTAATTGACCTACACATACGCAGTAATCCACAATCCAACTACACAGTCCTTTGACTTTGACACCCTTTCTAAGTTAAAATAAGTTTTAACAAAGTTATTTGATGTTTCTTTCCATGACGCCTCAAAAACTGGGGCCGCATATATTGTAGGTGTAATGACGAACTGTTGATGGCCAATGGCGTGTTACTGTACTAGGTTACTGTGACGGACAGCTGCTAGTCTACACCGAGACACACATAGATGTGTTCAACGCAGCCAGTGGTGAGTGGCTACAGACGATTAACCTGAAGAGAGCGCGACCTCTCAACACCACAGGCTCTCTGAGTATCTGTGTCATCAACGACATGCCTCACATCGTCTACCTCAACAACATACACCAGCGTAAGTACCCGCCAGTCCGCCACCAAGTTACTCTCTCTTCAACTAGCCTTCGTCATTCCTATGTCCATTCCTCTATGTTTTACTTTGATTAGTCCATAAGAGTCTTTGGAGCCTAGACGTGCTAACTCGTAAAACAATTTAAAAATACAAAAAATGTATAATCTCACTGTATACTAGATATTTAAATTGCAATCAGTTAGTTGTTTGAAAAAATATTTTGTGACGCTAAATAACTCTTTAGTGGCTGTTTGAAATCAATAAAATTAACATTGCTCTTATGGCGGGCAAATCCAAGATGGCCGTTAGCTTCCATCGCTTCCCCTTGGAAAGCAATTCAAAACTACAAAGAACATTTCTAATCTCACAGTATCCTAGATATTTAAATTATAATTTCTTCGGTTTTTGAAAAAATATTTTTGGACAATACATAATAATAACTCTTCAGCAGCTATTTGATATTATCCAAGCCGCTAGCCTCCAAGGACTCTTAACAATAAAATTTATTCAGCTTTTATTCTGAACTATTCAGTTTCCTGTTCCTTCTATACTTTTTTCCCATATTAATATTGTTGGCCTGTCAAATTTCTAGTACTCTTTTACCTTCATTGATACTGCAGATGAACACGTTTGACATTTAAAAAAATGTATGCTAATTTGGTTAGTTCCAAGACTTGAGTGATAGTCACAAATATTTGACTTGGCACACAAATGACATTGCTTGCTATCAATACGTGACAACTGGAGTTCTTCAACAAAAACAGCTAGTGCAGGAAAACTATTTGTAGACTATTTGCCTGCCACTGTAAGAAACATTGGTGACCTAAATAAAATTGAAGCTAAGCTTTAACCATTTTTTAAATGTATGATTTTATGAATTTTTGCTTATTTCTGTTAAGTGTAAGGACGCTAACCAATGTATATTTATTTATGTGCATCATAAGAATAAAGTTATTTTGAATTCAATTATGAGTGTTTCACGCCTCCTCAGTCTAGCCGTGATTACTATTATTATTTGTTTGTTTGTAGGTGAGCTGATCAATGTGACAGTGTGTGACCCGACAGGCAAGGCAGTGCCACGACCCAGACGCAGGTTCTCTATCAGAGAAGGTCATCGGACTACACGGGCGCCAGACAGGAGGTCCAAGATGATCTCAGCCCCTACGAACTTCAATCATATCAGCCACATGGGGCCTGGGGACGGCATACAGATACAGCGACTGCTGGACCTGCCTACAACACTGGAGACAGCTGATCAGCAACCTCTCTCACAGCAGAGGGTTAGTAGACAGCCATTATAGCTTATTGTATGCCACAACACAATAACTTCTCCACACCGGATGTAAAGCGCTGCGCAAAACATATGCTAGTCAAACAACACGCTTGAACTATACGACAAACCATGCAAACTTGTGTGTTGTGTTTGCAAGCATCCCTGAACAAGATCCGGTCGATGTCGGTATTTGGACGACATATAAAAGAATTGTTCCCCGGATGTTCACCATCCAGTATAGCAGTGTAGTATAAAATTAGTTTATTATCATTTATCCAAGCAGAGAAGTTCTTGCTTGGCCTTTGCAAAGCTTACTGTTAAACAATGGCTTTTAAATGGAGCCAAGAACACTAGGAGACACAAGTTGGTACATTAAGATGCATCATGACGCTCCAGTTACTAATGAGCAAAGAGTTCATGTCTGCAAGTTCTTAGTAGTTACAGTTTGTCTGTAAATAGTATCTCATAGACTTGTTTCTGGCCCTATCAAATTGAGAAGAAACTCAAATCTTTAAATGCGCCCAAAACCAAAGATCAATGTTTCCCCTTTGTAAAACCCCCTTAAAAAAATTAGGCCTAGTTAAAAATGTTTAAAAAGTATAAAACAAAACCCCATAACAAATTTTAATTTTCTGGAAAACTTGACAACCCCCAAACTCAACAACCTCTGGGTCCACAAATTGTCGACTAATGAGGTTTTACTGTATTAAATTTCAAGCCCAAAATATCTTAAGCTTTAAATTGATCAATTATCGTTGAGGTTGAGAGGAATAATATTTGCTAAGCCAAATGGAGAAATGATTATCATTTACTTGCTGTAGAAACATTGATTCCCAGCTACACTATCTCATGTGTAAATCAGTGTAAATTACTAATCCAAACTGTTTATTCACAGATAGTACATGGTCCCATGGTGAGCAGCAAGATGGCACATCAACCCCCCCGCCATCCTCCCATGCTGGAACCACGTCATTTACCCCGTCAGTCATATTCTGGACACAATGGTAAGTATACTGCATTATAAACTCTGCTAGTCATCCAACAAAATTACTATGTGCCAGTATTTCAAAACCCATTGATTGATGATTGATTCCTTAGACGTTTTTTGCAAGAGACAATAACTATTCACTTCTAATTTTGTTGGTATTTTTTATAAATTAGGAGGATGTGAGGCTTGACTGAAAATATTATTACATGCATGAGTTTCATCATCATCACCACCATTACCATTCATTAAGCAGCTCCAACCTCCTAAATATGCTGATAATATTCCTCCATCCTAGTTTGTCTAAAAAAAGCTCCCCTCTTCCACTAGCTGTAGATGTTTTCAGCTTTGCATCAAGTCCTATTCTATGGTATCTTGGATTTGTTTAGTCCTCCTACTATTTTATTCATTATTTTATCCTTACATGGCCAAACGTATGTACAAGGTTGAGGACCAAAAGTTTTACTTGTGTTTTGTGTTTTAGGTTCAACGACGAGGCGGGCCCCCGCACCTCCCCGCCCATCAGTCACTCCCCCCGCTCTGCCCCGCACTCCCGACACTCTCAGTCACCACTCGGACATGGAGGCAGGCCACCACAGTTTACATGACATCTCCAAGGTGAGATGAAATATTCATGGAAATGCACCTAAGATAGACTAAAGGGCTCCTGTAATAGTTAAGTAAATAAATGCCTTTATCGTTACATAACACATTTGGACATAAATTAGATAATTTATCTTTTTTTTTAATTAAACCTTAATGAAACCCTGTAAAGGTGTTTAAGAGATTGAAACCTATACAGTAGACTCCCTCTTATCCGGACTCCTCAAGAACGAGGCCAGTCCGGATAACGGGTTTTCCGGTTAAACCGACGTCCCCAAAATCTCGCTAAAACGGACAGTTTAAATGCATACTCTATACAGTATTTGACTTAATATTAAGAGAGCATTGTTTTTAGACACGTAATCACTGGTCTCAAATCTTTCCCACGAGAACAGTCGTTTCAGTACCGCCCACTTCCTGACAATCTAGTCCGGTTAAACCGATGTCTGGTTAAAAGGTGTCTGGATAAGAGGAATTCAAATGTTAATATTTTCTTTGTTTTGTAAGCCAATGACAATTGTTCTGGATCTAGATACATTAAGTGTTGTGTTGATTTGCAGGACCAGGTGGTAGCGTCCAGTCCCAGACACTCAATAGCTTCCAACAACAGCAGCAACCCCTCCACGCCCCCCTCCCCTGGCCACGACCACAACTCTTCTAGTTACGACAGTTAGACGTAATATATCAGATCTGTGACGAATCTTTCGAGTACTTATTAATATTAGTAAGTAATCTTTTTTAAATCTCCATATTGTATTTATATGAAAATACTAACTGAATATTTTAACTGATGTTATTATAAAAATCTGTATATAGTTGTTTCTAGGTAGATAAATTATAAATATACCTAGTCCGTAAGAGTTGTACACAGCTAGCGGAGTTTTATTATCGGACAAGACTCGATATTATGAATGTTTTTAGATTGTACATTTTTATATATTTGTGTTTCTAGTATTTATTATTTTATAAAAAAGTGATCTAATTTAAATTATTAAGGAAGTACAACTTAGAAATTAGATTTTTGTATAAATCAGATCGAACATTTCTTTATCTTCTGTCCCTTGTACAAAAGGTCCAAATCTGGCCTAGTATGCATTTCTGGTGTGTTTTCTTTTGTTACCACTAACTTTAGTTGTGTAAGTCTTATTTTGGTGCTACTTATTATGTTATGTAGATTACACATATTTAGGACATCACGCCTCACTATAATTTTGTGGTGGTGCTTTTACAGCTGTTTGTTTCACAACCGGATAGCTATGCGTAATGGTTTTTGCATGTACCACTTTTTTCATGAATAATTTGTACTATGCATATTTACATAATTTTTTGTATATTGGCTGCATTCTCTTGACCTTAAGTAATCCAGTTTCTACTTACCAAACCAACATACAACCAACCATGAACATTTCAAAATAATATTAATGAGTAATAATGATTGTCCTATTACTAACATTGTTATTTAAATACTCTTGTGTTTAAACTACTTAAAACTAGCCACAATTTATAAGAGCCGCGGTATATTTTTTTCGCTATGGCCTAATGTTCCTCCTGTTTTATCATCCTCTTTAAGTTTTTTGTTTATTGACTAAGGCGAAGCCAAAGTTAGAAAATGAGCGATGGTCAAAAAGACATTTTTTTTTCTTTTTAGTGAACTATATATATTAAATATTTGTAGTGAAATTACTATGTAACACAATGATAAACTCAAACAAATTTTAATGACGATACAATAATATATAGGCCTAATATATATCTCAGTCAAGATTTTCTTCAGACAAAAAACAGTGGATTGATTTTAGCAAAAATAATAATGTTCTCAACTCCAGCTGTTGGGGAAATACAAGCAACTTTAGGCCTGCTAAGCGTGTATTAAAATCAGTTGGTTTTTCTTTAGTATTTCTTTAGTATTCTTTAGTAACCTGGAAACTTTTTGATATAGATTTAATATTTTAAAATATTATTACCTACGACCGTTTATTAAAGTAGCCGTTTCAGTACAGTTATTAGAATTGAAAAGTATCTCATAACAGCACTGTTTACTTTCATAACAGCATAGTTTTACTCATAACACACGGGTAACGGACCAATGAGGTTCAAGGATTGAGAGAGGAGAAGTAAAATTGTAATATTCGAAATTCAACTAATCAGCTGTTCAGGCCAATTTAATTGTTGATTGGTGCAATTAGTGTTTGATACAATGTTTCGTTGCATCACTGTCACTGGCAATGAGAGGTTATAAACGAAAACATAACCTCTTTTAGAAGTTTTGAGTAGTGATGTTTTGTAATTAAAACAATGTCGTAGGTAAAGTAGTGTACGCAACTCGCGTAAATAGTGTTAACGACCCTCGTAGAAGTTTTTAAGACACTCGCCAAGGTTTGTACCTTAAATTTTCTACTCGTGTCGTTAACACTATCTTTACGCAATCATTGAGTAAACTACTATTACATGTGGCCAAAATATTATTCAAACTAAACCAACGATATTGGAACATAAGTTTTTTTGTAAATTCATCTCATCACTTAATTGTAGTGGTGGGTGATCTCGGTGTCTGTTTGATGGTTATAACTTGACTTAGTAATGAGAGAACAGCTGTGAAGCGCTGCCACACGCTTTACCATCGCTTTACAATTCGCTTCATCTTGAGGTTTTGAGACTATCAGTATTGTATTATAGACTCTCCACAGCATATGTGTATATCTTGTATAGTCTACGTATTGTATACTTCCAAGTGCTTGACAATAGTTGAGGATTCTGCCATAAGACTGTTATTTTGCTTGGTTATTATCATGCTTGGTGTATATCTGTATCGTAATCCTTACGTTCGGTCGTTGCCATGTGAATCAGCTCGCATTTGTTATCGAGTGCTCAAGTGATAATTTTGTTTAGTCGAAATTCGCCATGTATAATACGTGTGTTGGGAATTTATAGAGTTTTACTGTAGATCGCAAGTTTTTTTTACTACGGTTTTCGTTTTTTAGATGGATATAAAGTATAAATAGGTATACTTGTTGAAGTATCGTAATGTGAGTATTTTAATGCTCGGAGATTGTAGTTAAACTGTTATTCTTCGCGTCGACTCTAAAAACGTTTATGTATCTGAACTAAAATCGTCTATTAGTTGTCAAAATTAAATATTGTTGATTGGCAACCTAGCCAAACTGCCTTAACCATACCTGGCCTAAAGGTTCTACGCTCAGCAATAATCGCTTTTTCGTTTGTTTGCAACAATTTAAATTTATCCGTGCGTTTGTATACAGGACTTTTCAAACACAAATAATTAACATATCAACGTTACTCCAATGGCTTACTTTGTCATAGTCTTGTATATCTAATGTTTAAGGTAATTTTATATCTAATTGTTCAGATTACATTGTTAATAGTCGATCCGACTGATATCTCTAGGTATCACCCACTTATTTATACAGACTGCACCTATTATGTTTAACCTGACGCTTCATCATGTATGTATAGCACTGAAACTATTATTTGCAATATGTATTTATCAGAAGTGATGTATTATTTCTAAGTATTATCTGACTCAAATCACCTCGGTCTCAGTGATTTCATTTGTTTGCATTTCCAAAGATGTATCTAAGATTATAAGGTTATTGTATCAGACAGTCAATTCATTGTATTGAGGCAATAACTTAGTAATACCGGTAAATGTACATAATAGAGATTGTTGAATTTTAATCCCGATCATATTTGTCTTTTTAATTTCATACATTATCATTATTTATTTTTAGTATTTATTTATTTGATATAAATTATAATGTTTTTGTGTGATAATTTTTTCTTAAGATCAATGTGTGTTTTTTAAAGATGTTTTTTCGTTGTGTGGTGTTACCTTGATTTCTGCCATCATTTGATCGGAACGGTTGACAATATATGTACAGTTTACATCTTAATGAAATTTTTCAATCTGTGACATGTATTTTGATTTCTATTTATTGATATTCGTTTAGGAAACCATAGTAAAAATTTACCATGAAACATTCGCCTATTTATTTTCCTATTATTTTAATGATTAATTTAACTTGATGATAATTTTAATTTAATGAGACCATGTGGCATTATAGCTACCAGCCATTTGGTGTTGTCTCGTGTCTCAAAGGTTTAAATAGTACAACTTCTAATTGTCTAATATATTTATCTCTTTTTTTATTAAATATTTTGCCCTAAAAATGTATTATTGTTAAATAATAAAGTTGGATGTTTTATCAATGACTGTACATCCAGAAAATGCCTTACTTTTTGGATGAAATAAAACCATAGAAGTGAGACAAAAACTTGTATTTTCTACATAAACATTTACAGTAATTATGTACATATACTAGACACCATTCCATGCTACAATACATTTCACGATTATACATTTAATTGGTTAGTCAATTTACAGGTTGTTTGGCACATGGTCAGATGAAGGCGTTCTAACCCAACACAAAATCCTGCCACAGAGTCTTCTGATAGTGTTAAACAATATTCAAGATTGGGTTAGGGGTTTTTTAATGTAAGAAACTTGGATATTCATTTGTTGTAATAACCCTTCTTTAAAATTTTAATGTTCAATCTACTTATATGTTAGAAACACAATTAATTCCTCTATAACAAGAAATATTCTCAGACATTTCACTGACAAGATCAAATTTTTTAATTGTGAATCTTGATTAGAGTTAACAACTTGGGTTACAAAGTAAAATCACTTTAATAAAGTTTCATAAGAGGTATTATTATAGTTTCATAATTGCAAATTTATAAAATTAAGTGGCATTCGTTGATTCTATAAAAGGTTATTTCCAAAAGGGATTGATGGACAATCAAGCATATTGAACAGATAATGAATTTAGTTTGGAATTTTAATATACAAAGAAAGTTAATTGTGTAAGATGTACTTCAGTCTTTGCTCATCTCTCGCAACTTTTTCACGTTCTATTAGTAACTTTTAAAAGTTCAATAAAAGCCAAGCTGGTATCCAAAATTACAAAAATCGATTTTAAATTTTGTTAAAGAAGTAACAGTACCTACACAAAGGAAAACTATACGCAAGAGGAACTGACACGTTTCTTTTCTATCTTTCAAAAAAAGTTTTATTAATGTTTGATTGTCCTCGTAAAATAAATGTATAATAGGCCTAGCGCAAAAGTATTCGTTGAATTAAAATCACTCACACCCAGGGCAATGATGCTACGCTCGTAACAGATACACTAGCTATACTCGCTTTCTTACAAATATTACAGTTGTACTTTGTGTCAAAGTTAACTTTACTGTACAAATATTGGTTTGATATGATGAAGAGACGGGACGCAGAAAGTGTCTTGATACAAGATCACAGCCGTCGATCGTACGCACAGTCTCTGTACGTACGCAGGTCAGTGACAGAACGTAAGTACGTCACTCAGGAGTTTGGGAGTTGGCGACAGATGACCAGCATTGCACTTGACTCAGTCCTGCATCAGAAATGTCAATGTTAAGGTTTTATGCCCACAAATTTAATTAATTGATAATGCTATTTGGAATCACTATAGAAGGAAGTGTGGTGACAGTAATAATTAGGTTGTTTGGGCATGGGAGAAGATAATCCTGGAAAGGCATTTGATGATAATAAGGGAAGAAGACTATGAAAAATAATTATAATGTGGATAAACGTGGGTTTGAGGAAGGAAGGTGTGAGATGGTAAATAATATATATGGATAGAAAAAGATAGAGAGGCCCAGGTCTGAGAATAACCTAAATGGAAAAGGATAATGTATATATTTAGCATTTCTCATTAATTGTAATAATCATAATATTCAGTTAACTCTTAAGGACAATCGTGTTTTTTTCACTTTAGTTAAAAATGGCATTACTACAAAGTACAAGCACTCAAGCAGTATGGAATCAGGCTCTTTCAAAATCTGCTTTGACTAGTCATTGTATCTTTTTTGTAATCTGTTTAATCCTGCATTACATTTTGTAAGGTAGTGGCACTTTGACAATCCCTGGGAAGAATTCATGCTGGTAAAGTACAAAAGTTGTCAAATTCTTTCTTACTTGTTTGAAGCAACTTACCAAGTTCAGGCCGTTTCTGGAACATACTGTAGCGCAGCTGTTGAAGCTGGTCTCATTTCCTGTCCCAACCTGTAGAGTTGTAGAACCAGGACGATGAGTCTTCACGTTTAACCCATGAGCTTTCAATACTCGTTTCCTGTTGAGGAAAATCAGTAATATTTTAGACTTGCAAGGAGTTTTTCCAAAGGAATATGTAAATATCTACCGTAAACAAAACAGATCTTCCTCACCCTTCTTGACAATGTACTGGTTGATAAGAGGCCATTACAACCATCATAATCCCAATTTTTTCAATGCTATTTTTGACACAACGCATTTCCAAATCCCCAAATAGAATAATAATAGGAACCTAGCTTAGATGATCAATAATGCTTTTAAAAAATAAGAATCATAGCTAAAAAATGTAAACAAAGTTTGATTCAACCACAGAGGAGTAAGGTACAGAAGAAGCTCGCTTATGCTCGGAACATGCAGTTTTCAGCTGTAGTATGTTGTGTCAGAAATATACTTGCGACGCCCAAAGAAGAGCCCGAGCACTGTGCGGAAATTCCTATCACTCAGGGTCTTCCTCCACCGTGAGTCTTGTGACTAGTAGTACATGAGGACAAGGGGGGCAGTGATGGACTTTGCCCTAGACACCATGCAGCGGCTAGTGCTAGACACAACTCAAGTGTACTTTTGACTGTTTCCTTTGTGCCTTACTTCTCTGTGATTGAACTGTGTTTAGTGGCACATTTATTTGCTCTGTGATTCTGATTTAACCTACATCTAGCCTTTGATGCAAATTCTACTCTTCAAATTTCCTTTGATGGTTGGCTAAAATGATTTTTTAACCATTTCTCATGTCATTTGCTTAAGCTTAATCATCTACATGTACATTTGGTTACTGCCGTCACCCCATACTTCTACCCATGTTTCTCCCCCCCCCCCCTTGTGACCAGACTATCGTTATACTTTAGGTCCATGTGACATACTTCATAAAGGTTCATTACTATTATTATTCATTACTATACTGAATTTCCCTTACAGGGAATAAGTAACTGTTTCGAATCAACTACACTTACTGGATTTAATTGTGAGTGTGATATCGCAGTGGGGCCCAGGTAGTCCATGCCTGAGTAGTAAGGGTTGTAGTTCTGGTGAGGCGGAGGGTAGCAGTTGGTCGTAGGTGTGGAGGGGGAAGGCGTGTAACCCCCACCTCCTGCACTAGACGTTACCCCTCTCTGCGCCTCCACACACGAGTCTATCACAGCTGGACTCCATATCGACGTGTTCGAACCTGCTGAAGTAGGAAAAATATGATTATTTTACGAGGTTTTAGAGCTGAGAGTAATGTTTCTGCAGGGAAAAAATCTGAGCATTATGTTTCTGTTACACTAATGCCATTGTACCCTGATGCCATGATAACTTGGAAATTGACGAGCCAATTTAAACAAGTGGAGTAGATTTTAATTAAAGAACCAGTATTTTTTTTGCTGCTCATAACTGTTTTGTTCCTAAGAAAGTCAATGCAGTATATATTTCAACAATAATGTTTCTAGTCAAAATGAAAGTAGGTAGAGAATCTTACCAAAATACTAGATATAAAATGAGGATAAATAGTTTATGGTCGAAAATTGTTGGAGATTTTATATAGAAATGTATCTAGTCTTGTTTTGTTATGCTAAAAGGTTGATTTGATTTACTACTTTATAACACAAATAGCTTAGTAGCTGAGTAAATATAGTGCAATCTGGTTAAATCGTAAGAAAAGTCATTAGTTTTTGATGGTTTGAGATGGATTAAAGAAACAGCACTCCTTTTAGTCTGAACAAAAGCTACACCAGCAATCTCGCTCAATTCTACACTCATTCTACACTCATTCTACACTCAATTCACCAATATTCAGGTTAAAATAAGCATCATTATGTCTTAAACTTTTTGAAGGTTCCAAATTGGACTTAGCGAGTGGTGTGGTAAGGCAGGAATGTATGGGAACAGCGTTTTCCTTCTGCTTTTTCCGATAAACCTATGTATTCGTATCGGTAAGTGGATTTTCCGCAAAAGAATTGAGCGTTCCCACACGGGAAAATTTACAACCACATCACTGGACCTAGCTGTTCTTGATCAATGGTCATTAATGAAGAAATAATCTAAGACAGCAACAATGGCTAAAAAAGAATTTTACTCATTTACCATGGACGTACATCTAGATTTTACATAAGAGGGTACGGAAAAACCCCCATATAGAGGAGGTTAAGGGGTCCTCCCCAGAAAATGTTTAAAATATAGTACAAAATGGTTGATTTTGTATCTTAATTTGCTTTTTCAATTTTATGTTTTTACTGCAACATCTCAGGGGGAGCTCAGCCCATATTGATGGACGCCCATGTCATCAACTACTGTATTCATGTTCCATCCAAGTGAAGTTATTTTATTATGTGAATCACATGGCAGACCTACCAGAGGAGTAGACGGAGGGTACAGGAGGTGTGCCTGTCAGTAGAGGCTTGATGTAGGAGGGGCTGTCTCTGTGTAGGCCAGGGCCTGGACTGGAGGCCGAGGAGGTGGTGGTAGTCTTGGCCGTGGTGGCCGGTGGATTGCTGGCCTTAGGCTTGGCCACGGCCCGACTCTTGTCTCCATTGTGCTGCTGAGACTGCTGATGCTGTTTCACCTGCTGTCTACACTTGGCTCTGCGGTTCTTGAACCAAACCTAAACAGAACAATATATTCTTTAACGGCATGTTCTTTGAATACATTTCAAATAGTACAAACTTCAAAAGATATTTACAAGTGATTTATTTGTTACAATAGAGAAGTAAGGAACAGAGGATACACTCCATGGTTTAAGTGGTGTCTATCACTGGTGTTGGTGTCTAGGGCAAAGTCTCGCAGCGCCCCCTTTGCCCTCATATCCAACAGCGCGCACGGAGTCACAGTGGAAGACCCTGTGTCCTGTGCGATAGGAATTTCCGAACAGTGCTCACCCACCGTATGGGCTCTTCCTTGTTTATCACAATTGTATTTTCAACATACCATACCAGAGCTAAAAGCGCACGGTTCCCCCATAAACGTGTTTCCTCTGTACCTTACTTCTCTCTCTGTGGTTACATTTTGGTTTTACAGAAACTGAACCTAGGTGGCACGTTTTGTTTTTGAAGCAGGTTACATTAATAATCCCATGTTGAAGTGATCAGGAAGGAGGTTGAAGTATGCAACTCCTTTAGATTGGTTTTGTGGGTGTACAATATACTGTGTAAAGAATCATGTAGAGTGTAACTGAAGATTCATAAATCAGTTAAAAATATTTCAAAGGGTTAACTTTCAAAAATTAAAACAGCAGAACAAACCACTATAGGTGATATAGTATTAGGTGCTATAGGTGTATATAGTCAAAAAAGTGAGGGGTTTTAGGTATGAAAAGTGTAAAATGATTATGATATTGTTGACTATGAATATAACTTGACATTCTATTTTAATACTTAAGTTTCAGCCAATTTTATACTCTTTCAAAAGTTAAATCAGTTCTTGCTCTCAATGGACTCTAGGAAGGAGGGGTTTTTTTGTATAAAACTGTTTTCTTGTATAGTTTTATCTTATTACAAATTTAAGATACCCTGTAATCATTTTACATTTTAAAATCATTACAATACAGTACCAGCTTTTTTGTTTCCAACTATATTATTTTCTCAATGGTTAAGTCTTAGTTTCTACTCAAAGAATTATTAAAATAATTCTTTCACTTTTTCCTGGAATTTGTTTTAACTCAAACATTAGTTCCATAGATCAAACACACTCTCTTGTTTGATATATTGATAAAACGTTCCTGATATTCCAAAAAAGCTACCCTATTATCTAATTGAAGTAAAAATAACCACTTATTTTAGATGTCACACACCAATGAATCAATGCTTACTTGTGTAATATTATTTCCAAAAAAAATCCCATATTGTATATGTCATATGTACAAAAATGAATCATCGCTTACTGTAGAATAATGTTATTTCTAAAAATAAATCTAGAAAATGCTATTGCATTGACAGTATTCCTAAACCGAGACTACTACACTAACGAGATCAGTTCCTACAAGTACAAGAACATCTTAGATCAGACATGAGCTTACATCATATCATACGGCATAATGGTGTGCTGGTGATATTACTCTATGTGATTTGCCTTTGAACTCTTGATGTATTACTCTGTGTAAGGGGGATTTCAACTGTAGAGCTGCATGATGAATATTACTGCTCAGTCCTTTACTGTTCTGTCAGCTTAAACTACAATCTACTAAATTAACATGTTCTGTTTCACCTTTTACACATAAGAGATTAGTAAATAACATTGTGTTATGTTGTTTTTCTTTTTGCCTCAACATGAATTAAATAAAGTGTTTTACTCATTATTTGTTTGTAAATCTTTCTTTTGTTTGTTTTCACAGTAATGAATTATAATTGCCACATTAATTCTTCTATAGGTAGACTTTATACGTTTTATAATAAATTCATTTTAACAATGAATTGTATTTTCCTCACTTTATGTTAAAGAAAATAACTGTGTATGAAAGAATCAAATAACCAACGTTATTTAAATATTGTGCATCTATTCATCCCAAACTTATAAGCACAGTGAATTATTCCTCTTCAAGTTTTTTTTTTTTTTATTGTACTGTCCCCCAAAATGAAACCTACACATCCCTGTTTGTTGGTAGAGGTTATAACGGTTATACAACATATTATTATTCTGTTGTAGCAATTTTTTAGATATGTTATCATTAGTAACACCTTAAATATTTAAGTTATTTTCGTCATTATACTACAAATGATAATTGACATTTATTTGCTTATTATGTGATGTCTACTTCAGTATCAGCTAGTATCCAATAGTCAATGATAGTACTCTGGTGTATTACCAACAGCAAAAAAGCAACAAAATTTTAAGAACTTAACTACTGGAGGTCTATTAGGAGCCTAGTTATCCAAAGGTCGCCGGTTCGATCCTGAGAAAAGTCTGCAGCTTTTTGATGGTTCGAAACTTGACCCATCTGTCCTTCATCATTGCGTTTTTGATAAATGGTCCTGACTAATGAAACAGCTGATCTTAGTCAGTAACAAGGCTGTAGAATGTAGATCACTCCATTCTACAAGATAATCCTCCACTCTTAGGTGGCGTCTCCATCTCAAATAATATTGAAAAAATAATATTCAAAGACTGATACAGTAACCACGTAACCTCTTTAACAAGAGTCATAATAGTTTTGTTCGTAGGTAATCAGTTAATACATTAGATACATGTCCATTTATATCACCAGAATTATCTTCACGGTACACCAAAAAGCACGTGTAATGTGTATGAAACCGATCAAAGAAACAAATCCAAATGTACCAGTGATCAGCGCTAATAATACGCACTGTTCATATAATAACCATCCCAGAGTACAATATCTAAAAGCATTATTACAGAGAATCGTGTCAAATCACACAATCTGTTTATCAGTGCCACCGGCTTGGATGCTATTAGTGACAAGCGCTTATTATCAGTGTGTTTGATATTCAACGGTTGCATGATTACTTATATAATACTCAGTAGCGGGTGTTACTCTGTGGAATTGCCGCGTGATACTCTGTGTATTATTCAACCGCGCGGGATTACCGCCGTATGAAACTTGTGGTCATTGTCACAGCCATTCTCACTTGGTGATCACTGCCATTGCGTTTAAGCTGAGTCCAATTACAGATTTTACTCTCCGGTTAAACGAACTTTTAAATTGCAATTTGAGATGTGTTACAATATATTCTAAAAATGTGGGGATGAAATGTTGCACAAGCACAATTCAATTTGTTATTGTTGTTAGTTCGTTGAAAGGGTTTGTATGTTTTATTTATTTTTCACCAAATAGATAAAATAATTAAACTCGGTACATTGGCATTGGTTTTCCTAGTTAACATATTGATTTAGCATGTAGTTTGAAACTGTTTGCAATATGTAGGATTCCACAAAAACTGTGATATCTTAAATCGAAATTCTCCAGAAAAATGTATAAATTCAAAAAAGGTAAACATACACAAATGAAATTTACTATCATTAATTACTTATTACTTGTCTTTTACTCAAGTTAAGGTTACTGAGTCATAATGATATCTTTCGTGATTTGATAAAAATAAACATAATTTCAAGTCTAACAACCTTCAAAATGTTTAGCATTACTTCACCGTACCAATACAATCATAATTACATTTCAAACCAACGTAGAATGAAATCTCAAACTTTTCAAATTTACCCATCAAACTTCTGTCAGCCTTTTCACCTCCTGTTGATGACTATGAGAAAGGTGAATGTTGGGTGGGGGAGGGGGGGGGGGTGACGAGGATACAAAAGTCCCACGATAGCTGTTTAATATCAACCCTGGACGAGGGTGACGATCGCACAAAGCCCAGACCCTATGTATTACCTGGGGCGGGAACGGGCTTCTCCTTATGTAACTCACATTCCTACCTTCCCAATTTGTCATCGAGTCTGCAATTCTACGTCAATAGAGGTGAAGATGGGAAGGGTTTTAATGGAACGATCGCGTATTTCTGATTTTAGGAAGTACGTTGATACTTTTTGTTGTTATTTCAGTTGTTGCAAGGTTGACGGTTCGATCATGTGAAAAGTCAAATATTTTGGCTCGAAACTGTACCCAACTTTATTATTGGGATTTTGATAAATGATTCCGGTTGAAAAACGATCTGATCGTAGTCAGTAGCAAACCAATAATTTATGAAATAGAATCAAATATGAATTTTGTACCTTCATATGAAATTATTGTATATTGAAAGTTATATTGTACCTTCAAAAGTTATATATATTCGTATTCTATTTCATATTTTATTCAGCACTCATATTTCACTATAAATCTTAGACTACACATAGTTTGGTTTGAAATCATCTAATACTGTAATCTTATATAGTATAGACAAAAGTTGTAATTGCAAAAGTTAATTATTTCTTTAAACTTTCACATGACATTTTATAAAGCTTAACAATACACGAAAAGTCTTGGAGAAAACCGTTTACGAAAACAAGGTAAGAATTCACCATAATTAATTAGAGACTTTGCTAGTTAGGTTAGAAGAACGTTTTTATGAAAACGCGTTTGTAAAATAGAATGCACTGCAAATTAAATTAACTACACTCTCTACTACTCCCTCAGGCCTAGTACAGGTTTACTTCCTGTTTTAAAAGAAATTTAGAAAATGCGTTATGTTTTAACAACCCGCTTTGTCTCTCCTTGATATGTTTAGCCTATACTTACATTAATCTACATTAGCGTAGTTTTCGTTCCCCGAATTGATTAGTGAGGTTTAAAAATCTATTGTTGTGCATCATATCATAGCCGTAAAAAGAGCCCGACTTTGCTTTGCCTGAAAGTGCACAAATCAACTATTCGATTTCAATAGCAAAACAATACCAAGAAGTAGTTTGAAAGCAAGGGTGTCCTGGCCCTGCTGCTAACAATGAATGCGGGAAAGCAACTGTGAAAGTCGGCTTCAATAGTAACTAATGAGGGATGGACGTGAGTTCGCATCGCAGTTCCTTATCTTTACCTGGGGCGGTGTTCAAGGTCATCAGCTGACTACAATCAGCTGACTCACACCAGTTGTCACTACAATCAGCTGATAATCTAATAGTTTTGGTGTTGTCGCTACATTCAGTCGAAAGTGATACTTCTGC